GATCACAGGATAGACAGACATCATCCTCCATTGCGAAACATTTGATTGAGACTGGTCATAAGGTTGACATCAAGTCAGCATTTGTAGTGTTATACACAAGACTTCAAGGACGTATACTAAGGTATATTGAAGCCTTGGCTATACGGAAACTAAAACCCCCTTTATGTGTTCAAAAACGACTTGTCCTTACACTTAATCTACCCTGGTAATACTAATTTATTATCCAGAGTGGTAATTACATTTGTTTTTGTGTACTTTAAATTTTTTTTCTCTTTCGTTGTGGCTTACCTTTAACCTGTCTAGCTGACCTTTTAATTTTCATATATAAATGTTCTTAACAAGTATATGGGTGATCAGATTGTTCGAAATGTATTGCGCAAATACATCACAAAATTCTGATAATCTTCGTCTTCTCATCGCGTTATCGAAATATGAAACTAATAATAACTAGACAGACTAATGAAAATGATTGAAGCGTCTTGACTCTGAACGTTAATAAAAATTGCAATAAAAGAGAAATCTGACGTCACCAAACTTCCTTTAGATATAATAGATGAAATGGTGGATAAAAACTAGTTTATGAGCATATTTTGCCTAGCGACAAAGCTTCATAGCTAAGTGGGAGTTGTTTATTTACACACTACATTTTTGTTTATTGAATGTCTTGTGATATCACACTTATGTTCTAGACAGATGTGTATGATCAGAACATCCTTTAAATGCAGTTGAACGAATCTAATATTGTCAAAAACCAATTAATAGCTACGTTTAAGAACATAAATGACCAATAAACTATCATGAAGGTTAAAAATGATAAGTGTTAGCTGAAGTCTGACTGATGGGAGGGCTTATTCTAAAAGATTGTCTCAAGAAGCAATCCGTTATTTACAACGTGGTAGGTATGGTAATCATTTCTGTTTTTTCGAACTGCTCATTGATGAGTAGAATTATTTTTGAATTATGAAAAATTTACAAACCCGTACTAGTCGAATGGCGCATTAGAGAATAGAAATAAAAACTATAAATCATGAACAATTCAGTCATCATAAGGTATAATCTATAAACTACAGAGATAATTTGACTTTCAGTGAATGTTAGTACAGATAAATAGGGTTGTAGAAAAAGGTGAGTTCCACTTTTAATATGACACCTAATGTATATACTCATGTAAGGTAAAGTTTTCTAGAATCAGAAATCATAATTAATATTTGCTCAGGAATAATGATATCACACAATAAAATGAAACACGATTCGTTATCATTCCTTCAAAAGTTGAAAAAAACTTATCCAATTTGCTTATTAATCAAAGAAGCATTAACTTCAGTATGTCAGGAGGTTCTGGGTCGCAACAAGCACCATCATAATGTTATAACGTTCCGTCGTTGATTGTTATAACGTTCGGTAATACTTTGTCTGATGTTGTAACGCTTAACGATTATCTACACTAGATCCCTCCCAGTGTCTATCCTACAGGACTTCAACACAACTCAGATCAAGAACACGTAATCAGCCTGACCAGAACGTAATATATTTTCACACCCAAAAACCGACACAATCCACAACAATGAACAATCAATAATAATAGGATGTATATAAGTGAGTCACAATAATAAGGGTAAGGCAGTATATAACTTATCTGACACCTGTCAGACTGTCTACATGTCTGCTAAGCAGACAACCAATCACGATCGTTCTCGCCCACACAAACATAAGGAATGCATCTCCATCGAAACACTGGACGAGATTCAAGAAAGGAAAAACAAGAAGACATCAATTAACAAAAGCCGAATAAGAAAAGGTATAGTCAAGGTTAAAGCTGAATACACAGAAACAAACAAGAGATTGAAAAGAAATACGTGGAAGACTTAGGAGTGAAGGCGCAAAAGTTTGCAAGAAGAAGGAAAAAAACAACTATGTGACACCACGAAGAAACTGGTGGGAGAATCTAGAAAACCAGAGACCGCTTAATGACAAAGAAGGCAAGGTGACCACTGACATTCCAAAACAACAGCATGGATGAGTGGAACACTTCGAGGAAATATTGAATAGGCCAGCTGCTTTGAATCCACCGGATATCGAAGCAGCCCCTACAGACTTGCCTATCAATGTCACTCCACCAACGATAGAAGGAATCAGGATGGCCATCAGAGCGATAAAGAGTGGGAAAGCAGTAGGATCACCCAACATGCCAGCTGAAACACTGAGGTCACACGCAGAAATAACTGTGAATATGCACCATATCCTATTTATGAAGAATTGGGACGAAGAAAATCTGCCACCAACAGACTGGAAAGAAGAATATCTCATCAAGATACCAAAAAAGATAACCCAGAACGTGTGAGAATTACAAAGACGTCACACTATTATCGGCATCAGCAAACGCTTGTTGCTGAACCGGATAAAAGGGTAAGTAGACGACCAGCTACGAGACCAACAGAACGGATTTCGTTAGGATCGGTCGTGCACAGACCAAACTGTGGCACCACGGATCATCGTTGAACAATCGGTTGAATGGAACTTGTCACTATAAATCAACTTTATTAACTACAAGAAAGCGTTTGACAATGTGGATAGGATAATATTATGAAAACTTCTTCGACACTATGGTGTACGTGAAAAATTTGTCAGTATCATCTGGAATTCATACGAAGGCCTACACTGCTTACTCTCATTTTTTCTTCCTTCTATTGGTTGGCTGGATTATGAATACCTTCATATATGACGGGCAACAGCGAATACAGTGAGCATCTCGTAATTGACTAGATGATTTGGATTTCACAGATGACCTAGCTCTTCTATCCCATACACGCCAACAAATTAAGATGAAGACAACTAATGTAGTAGCATACCTCAACATGTACACAAAAAAACAAGATCCTTAAATACAACACAGAGCATCAACACAATCACACTTGATGGACAAGCTCTGTAAGAGGTGGAAACTTTCACGCACCTGTGCAAGATCGTCGATAAACAAGGAGGATCTGATGTAGATTTTGATGGGCGCCATGGTGGGCGGTCTATGTTACTTCATAAAAGACAACAAGTGTAATGAAGTAATAAATTAATGTCTGGTGTGTCACTTTATAGTTAAAAACATGGATTTAGTAGATTATTTTTGGGATAAAAACTATCTAACTGAACTATAAAAAAATTTAAGTTGGATGCTTTGTTATTTCCGGTAAAATTATTTTCTGTATTTACAACATTAATTCTGATTATATGACAAATTGTTGATTGGCGTGAACACAAATAATTTCGATATACATATCATACAAAAAATATTATCTTAGATAAGAAAGTGCCTCACACCTAACACGGTTTATCTCCGGTGTTTACATCTTCTGACTAGAATTCCAAAAATTTCCTCTCGAATTTAGTTATAAGTGAGTACATGACAGTTGTCAGTTAATGGCTGTGAAGGTTATTGAATTTCCTTACAAGTGCTGCACAACACTCATATAATGCACATAATTTGACAGTGAAAGCAATTATCTCATCATGTCATTTATTATGATCAATTTAGAATGTGGATCGATTTGTCAAACTGATAATTAGTCAAGTAAACTTTTTCCGGAATCATTATACTAGTGTTAGATATAAATTGGAAGAGGAGATGTGAATATTTGCCATCCATACACTTGATGATAACTGCATAATAAAAATATTGTTTATAAAATTGTTGTGTTGTTATTATCACTGATCTTTAGAGAGACCGTATGCGTTGTTTGTTGTAGTGATTGAAATTTTTTTGGAGAGTCAGTTAATATAATTCTCGTCACTTGTGTTCTCTATCTAGCTTCCCAGAGGAGATTGATTGACTGATTTCATTCATCACATCCACAATCCCATGCTTGTATTTCTTTCGACTAAATATATCATGTAATTCGTGATGCTGTCGTTTAACAATGTTGAACTACTCAACCACGAACAATGTTCAAATTTGTGAAATGATTTCCATAACTTGCTGTTATTCATAAATAATGGTTTGATCAAGTAATGAATATTTCGCTTCTAAGCCGAAATAATCGTTCGTTTGAGATAAAGTCAAATAGATTTGATAAAATAATTCTTGAAGAATAGATTAAGCAGCTGATATTCTTACGTCGTTTGGATTCACTTTTACTGTATTATTACGTGTATTCATATGGTACATATTCTGCATAGCCATTTAAAAATACTAGGAACTCGATTCACTTTACAACTGAATATGTCAGATAACTCTGCAGAATAGTTCACTGATATTTTCTTCTTCGAAGTAATAATGCAATGTGTCTGTATTCTAACATGATTTGCAACAGATAAAATAGAGAATGTGTTCACATCCACTTTGTTTCATAAAATTTCATCCCCTGCAAAATGGTTTTTGTTCTTAGTAGACACATACTGCTACGTTTTTTATTTAGGAAATGTGAATTCACTTGGTTATTCGACTACATTCACCAATGAATAGCAGAATACATTTAGTCCAAGAAAATAAACAGATTCAATGTGGTGACCACTTAGACGCAGTCCAATCATTTGTTTGTGGTGTTATTTCTGTATCTTTTTAAGCGTTGTACTTCAATCGACGTATAGAATAGAAATATAATGTATTACAATCAGGTGGTATATCAACTTTAAAAAAGAACATTGTGTAACGAAAGTCAATGTACTGATGACTCGAAAATCACTACTTTGGTGCTTAGTAAACACGATGACAACTTCCAGGAAATTCATATATGTCTAAAGTCCAATTCTCGTTCAAGTGAACATATGCAATGTTAAATTAAATTTCCTAATTACAATTAAATAAATTCTCAATCAATAGTTGCCCGATTAACTAATGTCCATAAATTGTGTCATAATTTAATAAACAAATGAACGATTGGTTACATTAACAGGAAGCGATAGTTACAAATGTTATTAAAATTTTCTTTATTACTCAATTTGTTTTTTTTTAAACATTATTGAATATTTCCTTTTATTATTTCTATCATCTTTTCTATGAAATTTTTTTTGTGAATCTGACTACAGAATAAATATTTAGTTATACTGATAACGAAATTCCTATCATGACGTAAACTATTATCGTTTATGCAACTAGATCGCTTGACAGATAATGAATAACAAGGTTCACAGAATAAAATGAATTCATTCTATTACATAGTTGAAAACGGACTAAAATTAAGAGCAATATAATTACAAACAATTTTTTGACATACGTTAATGATATAGTTGGTAGACAGCAGACAAAATGAAAATATCTTTCTACTATTCAAAACGAATAATTAGCGCCAATTTTACAATATTTTAGGGAGTTAGCTGTTATCAAACTTTTATAAACGAACTTATTTATGGAACAAGAAAGACTCAAATGACTTTCTTTGCCATCTTTATAACGATTGTAATTGAATAATTATTATCTTTTACATGATTTAATTGATACTCTTGTATGAATTTGATTTCAGTTCAAATTATTTCAATCTATTGTGTAATCACTTATTATTTTTATTAGGATTATACAATCCCTTAATTTTTTTATGATTATTAGTAATTATAACCTCAACCCCATTTCTAATTTGGATGACTAATCTTTCGACAAATAAAGGAACATCAATCTCAATAATGTTTAATTTCATATTTTGTCCCATTCCTCGTATTACAACTGTCGGTTCTATTTTGAATAACCATCTGAACGTCACTACCTAATCCACATCAAAACTGTGTTTATAACTAAATAAACCCTCAAAACTGTATAGGTTTTGTAGCCAAGATACTTTACAATATATTTAAATTCACTTCATTCTACAAACCTTGTTATTATCATTTAATCTGAAGAAAAAAACAGTGCGAAGAAGGTTTGCTATGGTACTATTGATCTCAAAAAAATGTATTGATTCATTTAATGTAATGAAAAGATTTGAAATTTGTCCATTTCCCTAGTTTCTTCTGCTAGAAGGCGATATATGAATATCTGATTCGATAGAAAATTATAATCATTTACTATCGATCCTTATTATTCGACTGCAAATAGGAATCCATAATTAATCACTACAGAAAATCTCAGGAAAAAATTTATTTTAAAATATAAGGTAATAAATATTAAACTGTAGGTTAACTGAAGCAATTAGTTTTTCAATGAGTTATGATTAATCGTGGAATTGTGTATACATCAAGGAGAAATACTCTTACATTGTTTTAATACATTTTTTGAACTCAGTATATGAGCTCGTCTCAGCACTTTTGTCAGAATAAAGATGAACTCGAGAAATGTAGTTCCGGGAAAATTATTTGTATCTTCTTCAAAATTGAACGCGTTGAGTAAACACAAGTGAATTTATGCATAATATTGATTTTAACTATAATCTTGCAGAAGTAAACACTATAATACAGCTCAAAAATATTTAGTTTCTTCTTAATCATCCATTTGCCCCCAAATGCCCTGGTATGGCCGAGAGTGGGCTGCGTTTGCCCTCCCTCTCAAAATACTCTTACACGGCCACGCGTATACAGCCACTGCCAGGGAAGTCCTACTCACTGCCTTCTCACACCACGGGTGTTGCTTAAGAAAATGAGAGGACGAAAAGCGAATGTCCGGCGCTTTAACCGGATCTCAAATCAATGGTGCATATGGGCTCCAGTATCCTGAAGGAACAAATGGCGTATGAACCAATCGTTGATCACCGGCTACCATGGGACTGCATCTCCTTACGATGCTCCACTGCCTTGTGAGTCAGACGTTCAGGTAGAAGGCTCGGGGTTGGGCCCCCTAAGAAAACCACCTGCTTCGGTTTGGGCACACGGGCAGTATCACAGCCCTCACACAAATCAATTGAGATTCGTGTGGCGCATATGTATTTGGTGGCTTTTTGTACCAATACCTATGTGTTAAAATAACTAGAACATCTAGAATCGTTATTCTTCTTTGCATGTGAATTTTATAGACGGATGAACTTTAATAAATCATCAAGTCAGTACGGTCGTTCCTAAGGATGAACGCATCGTCCATATATCGGTAGTAAAATGAAAACTTGTCAATCTGATGTGCCAGTGGACCGTTTTTAAGTTTAGCGAGGCAAACGTCAGCCAATATGGGACCTAGGAGTGAACCAATCGCAACACCATCTATTTGTCTATATATGTCACAATTGAATTTGAAGTTTACGATCAAAGTACATTTCAATAATAATTCTTTGGTGATCTCCACAAGGAATGCAGCTTCTATTTCTCTTCTCTAAGTTGTTCACATATATATTGTACAGTCTCCCTGGATGGAGCATTAGTAAACAATGGTGTTACATATGGAAACATTATCGTTTGTCCTTTATTCTTTATGTTTTTGATCTTGTCGTCGAAGTAGAATATATTCTTAATACTGTGCTTCCTTAAGTATTTTTGGAGTGGGTTTAAAACGGTTACTAACCACTTTATTATGGTATAATAAGGGGAATCTTACATGTTTGAAATTGGTCTCAATGGGATATCAGGTTTGTATACCTTCGGTAGTCCGTATAACCTAGGTAAATACGTATTTATCGGCTTAATTGTTTTGTATGTGTTTGGTCGAATTACCTGTCGATTCCTGAGCTTTTTTAAAGACCTGATCAGTTCATTCTCTACCTTATTGTTGACGTCTTTTTGGTCACTCAGTTACTGGAATTTTAGGTATCTATTTAAGATGTTATTCATCTTTTCAATATAGTCTTTCTCGTTAGGTAGGATAGTCCTTGTTCCTTTATCAGGCTTCGTAATAATTAAATCTTAGTCATTACTAAGTTCATTGATAGTCTACTTGTGTTTTTTAGTTAAAATTCTTGTGTAATTATACCTACTGTTTTTAAACTAATAACAACAATCAGCCAGATTTGATTTCAAGTGTTCAAGTTCTTGATCGGAGGTCGGTAATGGATCTGATATTTGATAATTTAGGTTTTCAAATTGGATGTCTGAATCTATATAATTTATGTGGTTTCGTGTATCACAGAACTTTAGACATAGTGCTAATACATCGAGTTTTTATTCATTTGATTCAGTAACGGAAAAATTATGAATATACTTTTTATGTTCAGTCTGAAATTTATTTTCAAATGGTCAATATTCTAGGCTTTTGAGAAGTAAGTTATGTTGCTTGTTTGACATTTTATGGCTTACGTTACAAAGATAACTAAAGAAAAAGAATCATTTTAACCAAAAACAAAAATCTAGCGAATCAAGCCATAAACATAGCAAAAAGTCAATTTCTAATTTATTTTAAAAGAATGGAAATAAAAGTAATTCGATTACAAAAAATTACGATTTATTCTGATAGCTCATTTAATCTTGACATTATCACCACATGATTTTGGGAAAAATAAGAATACGCACACCTATGATGTCCGACACCTAATTATAAACTTACCAAATGATATAACTATTGACGATAAAAGTTACTTGAAGATACCAACTAAAGTAGAGAAAATTTCCTTCCTCTCGTCAACAGATTATGCTCTAACCAAATAGAAATGCATATCTGGTCGTCGCTGGTTGCTATATCCGAAACACTTATCATTTATATTCGGAACGAGGGACCTCCGAAATACTTTAGTAATGAAATAACTATCCATCACTAACATGCAGATTTTAATGTTCACTTAACTACAGGCACTTTGTCCAAACTTATTCACATCAGTAACCAAACTGAAACTATACATTTTGCTTTCCTACGTGACTAAGTAATCAAAAAACAAGTGCAAATAAATACAATGAATAGTAATACTTAAGTGATATGTACATCGTTTGACCAATCTCCCAAGTGATATTCTTAACAATTATTTTTATAACTATAACCGCTTATGAGAAGACAATTTACGAGAAAATCTCCTCATCAAAAATGTTAACCAAACATAAACAATATTTTTATCTAATAAGAACATAATTCATCGGCTGGATTATTGCTAAATATTTTCAAATTTATCTAGTATTTTGTGAAGTTAGAGTGCTTGGTTAGATGTTTGTTAAATTTATATAACGACTTTTTCAATCAAGCTGAACATACAATATATGTATGATGACGATCGACCGGTTGACAATTCGTTCGTCTGTTTAGTATAAATCTACGTTTTACTTCAGTAAAATTAAAATCATTGAATTTGAACGTAAGTGTAGTTCATTTAACAAGGCACAGCATTATATATTTGGTTTCGAGCCATGCTAATGATACTCTACTTGGCTAAATCAAACAAAAGTATATGAAGTAAAAATTGGACCTTTTATCTATAATTCATTTCTATAACTCACAATTTAAAATGAAACAGCTATTCAGTGATCCTTTATTCACTATTTGATGATAACAATTCAAGAAAATATCAATCATCAATAAATTTTTATTCCTTCCCAATAAAACTTGATCAAATTTTCATTAACAATCTCTTTCATATCTAACACAAAGCATAAACATAAAGAACAAAATAATAATAACTTAATAACAGAAAATTCTAATTAAATCAAAAGGACAAGAAGAACGTTTTCAACAATCAAACCAACACTCAAAACATAGATAAACAAAATAAATGACTTTTCAAGAAAACAATTATTTGCATATATCATGTATTACATCAAGTAAACAAACTGTCAGTTTAATTGTGATTAATTAATAATAAGAAAAATCATCATTCTATATTCAGTTATCACTTATCGACACAAATATATATATATATATATATATTCAGTTTTGTTTAAAATTAGCAAATAAAAATAAGAAATCAACAAAGAAGAACTTGATATGAAAGAAATCGAAAGTAAGTCATAAATCATGAGGAATTATATATATATATATATATATATATATATATATATATATATATATATATATATATATATATATATATATATATATATATATATATATAATAAAACCTATGAGAGAATGACTCAAAATCACAATCGTCCGTAATGTGCATATACTAGGATGGATTATTCAGGAAATTAAAACAAACCTCACATACTCGAACTGGTTTAGAAAGTTCATATTTCACAATTGGTATTTCGAATGCTGAACATTGAGCACAAAGTAAACGTCCACAGTGGCGACTAGAAAAAAATAGAGAAATGTTAATATCACGTTTGTTATTAATTAAAGGTACAACAACAATGGTGAAAAATAATAAAATTTTGAGTAGTTTAATGATTTGATGAAACATCAATACTGATAACTTGAGGAAACAGGGATTGAAAATACCCAGATACATACAGAGTAGTGGTTTCTGGCGGTTAAACTGGTCGGGATTCCACACTTACTTCGGATGAAGAAGCCAATGATTACCAATCAACGAGATCTCGAAAAAATGTATGGATCAAAGTTGAATACAGATACTCGTACTTTGTAAATCAGTCACATTTTTAACACAGAAGTTAATGCTATTGAATAGTGAGCTCATTCAGTCAGTTATCATTAACATGGATTGGATCAGAAGACAGTGAAGAGCATAATAACAAAAAGTACCAATATCATTTGTTATTGTTATTAATATTTACAATTTAAGAGCGACCTGAACTGCTGAAGGTAAGTGATTATGGCTCGTGATTGTTGATAATAAAAAGGATCCTGTGCAATTATTCATTCGTTTGTGGTCTCAGTGATTGGTAGAAAAATTACACAGATGGTATTCTAACTTCCGAATGATGGCCGTTAGTCAACATAACGATTGCGATAACGAATGTTGAAAGAGATTGAAATAAGGCTGTAGCAGTGATAATGATAAAGATTGATCATGGGAAGCTTGACTCAAAAAGATAGTCGAAGCGTATGTATGAATGAGTACTGCAGTTTAAAACAGAGAAGAATTTATCGAATGAATGCATATGTACTAATGCGAACGATCCTGGAGTACGTCACTCAAAGTCTCCAATCACAGATCGCGAATGTCGCACAAAAAATGAAATATACAATTCATCAAGCTATGATCGGAAAACTGTATTTTTAATATTCATGTCTTGATTTGTTATATATAAACAGTGGTTGTCACCGCTTTTGATTTATTATGAAGCAAATATTGAACTGAGAACAACATATTAATATTACAATAAATCACATACCAGTGATGTTTTCTGTTAGTTATGCCAAACTTCACGCAACATTCAACACAAACAGAACCATCTTCCCATCGAGGTTCTTGAATAAGTGAATCTAATAATTTTCATTGAAAAAATTCACTTTAATAGCCAAAACCAAATAGAAAAATGTGCGCAACTAAATTTAATCAGTTTATCATAAAACAATATTTCTTTGTTAAAAAATAGCATTGAGGTTATTTGGATAAATTTAAACAGATTTTGTCATCCAATAGATGTGGCTATTTCATTTTCCTTGATTCAGAGCTTTCAATCTCAAGTTATGTAATAATTAAGGTATATTGCGTTGCTTTAAATCAGCCGGTGTAGACTAACAGGTATCAGAATGTTACCAAAACCGTTATAGAAATAAGGATTCAATAGGCAGAGATTCTTTGCAAGAAGCCACAAGAAACTTCATTGGTTTATTGTTCCTTTACTCAATCCTTCTCCTGACAACATTGCTTACTATATTGGTCAGAATTGTCTATCGCGACCATCCATTAGTTATGTTACCTGGTACAAATGTTCTCAGAGGGGTCAGTAAAAGTTATTCATAAAATATCGTCTACATCCTTGTTTCATGGATATCTAGCATCATCAGTTTTATCACAGTAAAAATCTTCTGAAAAGATTGTGCATGACGCGTCGAACGGCTATCAATTTTGGCTCTGAGGCAACGTTCCCAGATAGAAGGTATTTTTAACACAAAATCTGTTTCTTTACTAGGTACTCCTTCTATGGTATAAGATATTGGGAAGTATCAATCACCAGCACATATTTAACAGTATCAGTACTCACTTTGACCAGTCCTATCATACAATAATTTAAAGTCAAGAATATTCATTACCAAATATCTGTATTCCCCTAATGACATGTCTTTACAACAGAAGCATAATGGAGCATGGAAATAAATTTTAGAAATATTTTATTGACTCGCTAGTCAAAGGTGTAGTGTATTGGGTAATGTTTAAAAAAAGAAGAATGATTTTTAAAACATTTGAATTTCAAGAAAAAAAGTACCTAGTAATTGTGAAAGAACACGTCCAGGAGTTGAACTTTTACATTTCTTTTTATTTAAACTAAACACAGTATCCCCTTCAGAATTCATAATTCCTAAAGATGCACCTGCTTGAAGTAATGCGGTACAAAGTGATATGTTTCCTGCTTGATATGCGAGAATTAATGCTGAAAAAGATGGAGAAAATAGAACCAAGCAAAACAATAAAATTAAAACTTATTAAGACCAAATATAATTATTTTTCTCCTAAAAAAACTAACAAAGAACTAGCGAAATGTAAGAAGAAATTAACATTTAGAAAAGAAACAATATTTATGAATGTAAAACAAGATGAGCGACATCTTTTTTCGCAAACATTCAATAAATGCATCCTTGAAATAATTTGATATATAGTTAAATCACATGGTTTTATGTAACTTTCAAAGGTGATTTTTATTATAAGATTACATGAGGATTGTATTATATCAAGAATAAATTAGTGTTCCATAAGTAAATTGTTGCAGTGAAATTCACAGGTGCTCATTGTGACGCTTTTTATTTCTGATATGAGGATTATATGCGTATGACGTTATGAATGAGCACTAATTTGAAGGGATAAACAAAGATGAAGTACCATTCCAGTGTCTTTTGCTTTATTATAATTCGCTAAATGACTTCAGACGGTGGTGAAAAAACGTCAGATAATGGCTTTTCTCGTATATATTTACTCAAATATTCACCTGTTATGTTTGTATGCTTTTTGCTACATCTCTAACAGATTCACACTCTATATTGTCAATGATTGACTGATTGCTTGCTAAAATAACATGGGAGATACTTTTATATTTTGATGGGGTCGAACTCCATTGGTTAACAATTTACTTGCAAATCAGAATACAACTATTAGAACGAACAAAGAACGTAAAAATAACTTGCAAATTTTCAATTAACTACTCGACTGTACGTTATAATAATAATTTAGAGTGAAATCCAAAATTTAACTATAACTAAAAAAGTCCGTACATATATTTCCATATCGTCTTAATCGATAGATTGTTGAACAGCAGAGTTCGTGTATAAGAGAATTGTATGTATTCAGGAGATCAGAAACTTCTAGGCGAAATCAAAATTAATTAATAAAACTAGATGGTTTGGATTGAGACTATGATGAAAATCGTTGGTTTTCCATAGAAAATTCAAATGTGATTTTAAAAATTGTGGCAGGCATTTGAAGTATGCTAAACCTGGCAAGTTGTAAAACGAACTAACTGACGACTGTAATTTTTAAAATAACTAGCCCCTTGTGTTGAACGAATTGTAGCGAACAAGTTTTACTTTGACCACAAATCTAAGCGACTCGTCATTGTGAACTATGTTCCGCTGTCAGCTACTTGAAGGTAACCACCCAAAATAAAATTCGGAAATAATCTACACCATGAGGAGTAAGTCGAACTGCTGGTAACTTTACAGCATGATCAATAGAATTTGATAGGAAAGATACACACATGTTAATACTTAATGATCAATAAGGCTAAATATATTGGTCATATTTGGAGTCGATAATACGTTGAATGACTCGATTTTAACATCCCCAGCTGTAACATTGAGTGATGATTAAAATCACAGTGAGACTTGAGACTGTAGATCTATTATGCAGAGAGGTGACAACTACCTTCTATCGATTGAAGAAAATTAATAAGAAACAGCTTATTTCAAATTATTATATAACTAGTAGCATAATAAATAAATAAATATTTATTGACAAAAAAGTTTGTATTGTTATATAATTTAGACGCTTTAGTTTATCCTTCGTACTCGTAAGCCATACACTTTACCTGAATATTGTTCATTAAGTTTTTTTGTAATGCCTAAAATTATAACAGTTGTTTATGTAGCGTAGACCCAAGTTGTTATAAATCATTCAAAGTCACTAGCCATTAATTATGATATTCTTACGGACTCCAACGCGATAGTCCGCACGTGCCTACACAGCTTAATTCAACAGTAAGTGAGTTCATGGACTGGTGGCAGGTTTCAGCTTTGCCTTCTCTAGCTTTCTTCTAACCTACTCCTCTTACATAAGCAAATATCACCGGTCGAGGTAGGGGGTATCTCAATCACTTCAATTGAAGTAGTTGGGATAGTTAGAGCAAAAAATTCTTCCTGATTCTTAATACATTTTATCAAGTTATACCACAAACGGGTGAAATCAACAATTGAATTATTCACTAATGGTTTCCGATAAAAGAAACACGGATAAGTAATTGAATAAACATGTCAACTTAAATATTGAATAAATAAATTATCAAGAAGAAAATTTATTACACTAACCTAGATTATTGAATACATGTGAGATAAACAAATATTGTTGGACAAACACAAAAAGATTAATATGCTAATATGATTAGTAAGAGATTAAAAGAAAAGTGGTATGGGAAGAAAACCAGTACGTAAGCAAACAAACAATTCCATTAGTGAACAATGCATACTTGTATGCAATTGCGTGTATATGACAAAATAATACGGTATAAAAATCAATATTACATAAAATGACTATAGTTTTCTGCACTGACTTTTCTTCATGTGATCAACGTATAAACTACGGTTTATAAACTTAAGCAAGAAAATGGAGAAAAAGCCATGAACGGTGGAACTGAATCGTGTCGGGTGTGAGGCAGTTATCGATTGAAGGCAGTGGAAATGATCATGTAAAATCGTGGATTGGTTGAAGTTACACACTGATAGAACTGGAGAGTGATTCAGTGATCTAAAGGTTAGGCGTTCGCGCGTATGACGAAAGTTCTCGAACTCGATTCCCACGCCCCGAGTCATAGATGGGCTTCTACGTTTTCAATGATAATTTAACTTGAATCAGTTTTAATGAAATTAAACGTTTTATGTTACAGACTTATTAGATTAGGTCGACTCATTACGATGTTATGACTTGGTTGAATAAAGAAATATTTTTATTGGGTTTTATTCAATTTCGAGAGTTTCCTCTTCAGTGTGACAATTATAAAATTATGGACGAATTGCTAGCCAGATACCAAGATAATATAGAACGAACACACAAACCATGACAATATCATATCCTAAAAACTACTGACGTAAATTACTCACGAGTATTGCCAGCAGCATCTTGGGCATTAATTTGATTGGCAACAGATACCTCCAATAAATACTCAAGCATTTCAACACTGACTGGACCTTGATGTTGAGCCAGCAAGTGAATCGGCAATTGACCTCTAAATAAATTTGGAATTCATAAGTAGTTATCAGTATAGGGTTGTGGAGATTGTTGAGTTTTGATTGAGATCATGGGTCGATTAATGTTGGACCACAACTGAAAACCTGGAAGCAATAGTGTAGATTGATTGATGTTAGACATTACCACCGTTGGATGCCTACTTAATGGTCAACAAGTTAAGAATTCGCGCGCGAGGCCTAAATCCATGGGTTTGAATCCTGCATGCGGGATCGTGGACGCGTACTGCTAAGGAAGAAACGGCCATCCAATGCTTCGAGGTTATCAATAGTGGTCTAATATTGATCGATTCACAAATATTTGCAATCTACATGATCAACTAAATGTAAGCAGAAAATGGATGATTTAACCGCGTTAACTTTATTCTAAAGACTATGATGAATAAATCGACACGAGCTGCAACTTCATTATATGAGTTCACAAACAAAAAATTTCGCATCGTTCAAAGAATTTTAATAGACGGTATTTGGCTACTCATTAGTAGTCAGCTTACATATGATAAAAAAGTTGTGTCTGAAAAGTGAAGGAGTTCAATTTCATGTTGGATTGTTTATTGAAAGGGATTAGAATGGAACTGAAGTAAAAAACCTAGCACTGGATTTTCAAAAAAATATTTGATTATGATAAAGAAGTACAATTAGTGAAAACCGAGATTCAGGTTTAGAAATAATTTTGGAAATTAGGGCTAGATTTACGGTGTGAGACATTATTATTACATCTCGAAAAGAAACATAAATCCCAACAAATTTCAAATTGGACAAATTGTACTACTTATTCTTCTGATGTGCCACGTTGGCACCGATGATTATTTCATTGCTTCCAATGAATTAGATGGGGTTATTTTGGTTATAATGTTTAGCTATATTCAGTGAATATTGGAGCAGAAAAATTGATTTGGACTCAGATACAAATATTCGCTCTTATCAGACTAATGTAGATATACAAGCGAAAAGAGCAAACCCGCAAGAAGACTTACTTGCCAACCAATACTAAAAATGTTTATAGTTTCTACGTGTTCACAAGTAATTAGAGTGATTCATACTCATGAAGATGGAGACCTTGGATGAGGTGAGCGGTTGAGTTGATGAGGAAAGAACGGATACGCTTGTACACAAATAATCACAGACATTTGTAAGACAATAGGGTCTGTGAGGTCCTAATTAGTACATATACTGTAACATATGACACTTAACGCTAACTTATAAGTGGCCTCAGAGGCGATTTAAATAAACGTTAAATGAGTCACTGGAAAGTGATTAACAGAATTTTTCTCGATTTGGACAGAATTATGGTAAAATCAAAAGTTATACACTAGTATATATCTTTTAACGTTATTATTTCAAGTTATGAAAATTAGTGTTCGATTATTCACTGTGTTTTACCATCGTGATACTTCATAAGAACTACTGTTGAATAAATAAAGTGAAAACCACTTTTCACAATTCATATACGAATGTTAAATTGGTGAGATAAAAACATACAATCGAGATTATTTCTAAAGAATTACGATTAAATTGTAATATGTACACAATAATAATAATAATAATAATAATAATAATAATAATAATAATAATATTATTATTATTATTATTATTATTATTATTATTATTATAGAAACTAACCTGATATTTATACAATAACAATTTGTAGCGGAATGATTGAGCATTTTTACAAGACAATCCACTCGAGCATGTCGAACAGCTAAATGTAATGCTTACATAGAAATAAAAGACATTTTTTATTACGAAATAAGTGAGTAATTGAAACATAATAATAATAATAATAAGTAAAATTTTATTTTTATTTATTCGAACACATAAAGATTGGTACAAAGGGGCATGTTGTAAATAATATTTAGTGTAAAATAGCTTGGATATGAATGAATAATGTCTAAATCTGTATCGAAAATTTAACGGTTAAGAGTTTTGAACTTAAAATGACTAAACTCAGCACTTTGTAAACTAATGAGGATAAAGCAAATTACTAATGACACTCACTCGAATATTAGTGAATTACCCTTTTATGTCTATTAATTTGAACATATTGATTAATTAAAAGTAACTTAAAAGTGTATAAGTAGTCACATTGGATATTAATAATTATTTTGTATCACGATATAATGCAAAGTTTAGAAAGAGTTTCTAAATAAGTTACATGCACTTTCTTAAACTAAACTTCATTTGAAAAATGTCAATGTTACCTGATGACTGTCTACTTGAAGTCGTTTTTGTGACTGAACTAAGGGCAAAGCCACCTACCTTAGTCATCGTAATATTTCGTCATTCAAACAAACCTCCGTAACTGATGTCAATGCTATTTATTTTAAGTGATTTTGTAAAAGAGATTTATTGAAAAGTGATTTTTCATTCGTTCGGCTTTGGTTGGAAAGGTTGGTGAAGTTACAAAATCCGTAAGTTGTTACATCCAACTAGCAAGACGACGTGAAATTAACAAGATTCTTAGCAAAAAAGATCGGAATAAAAAAGCAGTAGAACTATATATATATATACTTACGTGTATTACGTTCTGAATCTTGAGCATTGGGGTCAGCTCCATTTTCTAATAAACAATGTACTAATTCCGGTCTATTGTAAATCACAGCCAAATGAAGACCGTATTGTTTTTGTGGTGTCTGTGAGTTAATAGATGCACCAGCAAGAAGCTATTGATAATAAAAACAAAAAAACTCACTCGAAATAACGATGGATGAAAATAAGAAATAGGATTTTTAAATGAAAATGCGACAATCTTTATAATGTCAAGGAAAAAAGGATTGTAGGCTAAATGTTACGTAGACATAAGAAGGTAGAAAACAGTGTAAAGTATATGTGAACATACGAAATTTTATGAAACAATAGACCCATATACATTTCAACAATTAGATCTGTAAAAGAAAACATTCTACTCAAGGTAAAGATTTTACGGTATCTCTCAATTCTGCAGTCTGAAAAAAAGGATGACTGATTAATACAAATCCTAGGTTGACCAGTAACTTTATATCCAAGAATTAATCTAAATAAGGCGAGAACGGCAATCGCAATACGAATCATGCTTCTCAATTGCTTGCCAGTTCAACAAAGCTCATAAAAACATTAATTGTAGCATGAAATATGAACATAATGATTGATTCAACAAAGGAACGAAAAGAAACATGGCCAAGGCAGATACTTTCCCATACTATGTATATCGGTCAACCAGATAACTGTTATTACTCTAATTTCCAATGGTGTACGAGTTCTAGAAGTCGAAATGAGGTAGTCTATTTCAACGCACAGTTCAGATTATACGAGAGAATGAATAAATGATGAATGTAGTTTAACAAGCAAATATTTATTTCCATCAGAATGGGTCATTCAGTATTTAGCGATTAACATTCACGACAGTAACAAAAATATATCTGTAGGTCTTCAAATGCATTTAGACATATATAAAAAATATAGGCAAATTATTATGGTTTAAAATAACATTGTTTGTTGACTAAATATGTTAAATTATATGTTTAACTAATTTGGACACAACTATATGGGTAACATAAGATAAATTGCAATATATTTTGTCGTATCGCAATGTTCAAGCAAAAACCCGAACGACAAACTGTTATGAGAACCTTTCCTTTTTCATTCAGAGGGGATGCGACTTCAATTAGAATTTATAAAAAAGGATTAAAGCGGAGTTAAGAAGGTACATCACTGTAGACTAACTGTCCCAAGTATATCATACCAAATATTCCTTACACCTACCAAAGGTCAGCCCCAAATGGACTAATGAATAGACATTTAACAAGTGTTTTTGATTGCTGTATGACATACTGCACAAGGTTTAATAGAGCCAACGAGTAAATGTACGTGTAAAACAAAGAATCGATTTATTTTACTTATTTTCAATTAGTAGCCAAAATAACACATTTCTTTAAGTATTAATGTGATCATAAAATCAAGTACGCCAAATAGGCTTTGAAAACATAATGTAAAATAGTCCACCAGCTAATCTCAGAAAATATAGAGATATTATAACTCATTATTATCATGTGGTAATTCACTGAACAACTGATATGATAAATATAACAATCTTCATATCTTACCAAACTACGTAAAATATCCTCATCTACGCCAGTTTTAATTGCTAAATGGAAGGGTGTGAGACGATGTGCATCACGTACACAAGCATTCATATCAACTCCAATTTGAATGAGAAGAAAAATAGCTTCACGATCGAAATTTTCTATTGCAATATGTAGAAAATTACGACCTGAACTATCAACCTATTTATAATGCAAAATATTACAATTAGAAGTTAGACGATAATGTTTATGTTGAAATTTTAACTCAATGCTAGTGAAAAAACAGACAGCCTTTAAGAAAGAGGTTCAAAAAGACGTTTACTTTCCAAGGCGAATATGTGATATAAATACACCTAAACTATTATTATTATTATTATTATTATTATTATTATTATTATTATTATTATTAGAAGTATTAGGAGTGAAAACTTCTTTTTCACTTCCCACGTTTCAAGTCCCTAAATTACAAATTCATAGACAAAATCTTGGAAAGTGAGGAAAATATGTACAAATTAGTTAGTATGTTGTAATACATGTTATCAGTCACAAAACGGAAGCTACTCAAATCTTTAATTAAATGAAATTAGGGTAGATGTAAATAATTATCTGATTGAAAAAAATTAGACTACTAAACTACCATTTTCATAACATAAAAAATCTCTGTTATGAATTGGTAAGCTGACGTTTTTATTTCCTGTAGTTCTGAACACAAATATTTTGTATATTTACTTGCACAGTTCCTGAACAATAACAGTCATCAGTAAAAGGGGGTTTATAAAGATTGCTAGAATATTTTCTTTACGTCACGAATTGATCTTAGTCAGACAACCATTGAGAATCAGGAAGCACTGAACAGCTGTTTCTTCCCAGTATGAGACTCCTAAATAGTGGGCATCCACTACCTTATTATGACTTGAATCTACGGACTTCATGTTTCATGACGAGAGCTTAGCTCTTAGATCGCTGACTAGCCATCAAACGTTTATATATTTAGCTTTAATCCATTTTCCACATTGCACAACCATTCTCCATTGCCATTCATGAGTAACTTGCTTCTCACACCATAGTTGAACTCCACTGGCCAAGAAGACAGTTGAGCAATATTCAGAATTGATCTAAATTAAATATGTAAACCGTTGAACAGAGTCTCAGTAGTCTAAAGGCTAAGCGCTCTTTGAAAAACAAAAAGGTCGAAGATTCAGCCTTCATTAATGTAGTAGATCCCCAATGGTTAGAAGACCCATACTAGTTTCAAATGGTTGTCTAACTAAGGTTAGTCCGAAATATAAACTATAAAATAACAAAATCAACCGAACTAATGGTATGGTATTAAAAAAACGAATGAAGAGCTAACCAATATACATAACTGAACTCAAATTCTATAACATTCAAAAAAACTTTCATTTTTTATCAGCAACTAACTTGTAAAGCTAAAGAAGGGTCTTTTTTCAAAAGATTTTGTGCAATTGTACGTTGACGTAAATCCAAAGCTACATGAAATACGGTGTATGCCTGTGCATCACGAACGGCATAGTCTATTTGAGGTGCTTCAATTAACAGGTTGGCAAGTTTTTCATTTTTTGATCTAATTGCCAAATGTAAGGCAGTTTCACCATTATAATCCTAGATGAAAATGACACGAAAATATTGATCAACATCGTGTGTATATATATGGGATAAAGACGTGATACTTTTGTAATTTATTCCAAACATAATAATTATTATCCTCTTAAAGTTTCTTCATGATAACACCAACACTTACTGTTTTCTACAGTACTATTAATGCATACAATACATATTTAGACAAACAGACCAGTTTAGCGAAACGCTTCACAAAAAATACAGGTTTAGGTTCAAAGATAATGGATAGCGTGCGTGTAGGTGAAATCCGATAATCTTTATAAAAAAACCCGGTTGAATTCAAGATGAGCAGAGGGGTACCTAAAACTATATTTAACTAAAATATAAGACCTATTATAGCAGTTGCCAATGAAAGGATGGTTAAATTAGCCAACGTTAAACTACTGAGTACAGGGTTCGAGACCTGCTACAGCTGATTTGTTGCGAGCACCTAGAGACATTCACAAATATATGAAACAATGATCATAAATATTGACTTATCATAATGAGTTTCGCTAAACTATTAACAATAAAACTGAAGACTTACACAGTACTTATAACTCCGATAATTATTTAGTTATTTTCTAATAACTATGTTATGTTGAAATGAATAAATTAGGGTGATAAACTTCGAAAATCAATTCTTGGGATATTAGTACGCCTAATTTTTAATGTGTATGTAGTAAAAGACAATGGATAGAATTTTCATATTCCACAAATTAAAAGATTTCAAGAAAAAATGCTGAATCTAGGTTTCAACCTTTTGATTAGTGAGTAGTTCAAAAGCCATGACATCCCACTCCACGACTCAATTTTTATCAGTACTAAGGTATCATATCTACTTGAAACTACAATGTGACATTCAAGGAGTCTGTGAAGTTTACTCATTGTTGATAACCTTTGAAAGTATTCCAGTTGATTAGTTACTGTTACCTTCAAAATTAACATTCCATGGGAAGTTGTACATACCATTCACAACTTTATTGTATATCTCTATCTATAAATATTTAATTCACTATTTACAAAAATATTTATGCAATTTTTTATTGATGCAATAAAGACATTTACCTGTTGGTTAATATATACACGATTACTGGAGATAAGTATTTGAACGAGTTCATACATTCCAATTAAAGTGGCCATATGCAGTGGGGATCGAGCTAATTCTGGTATAATATGTTCTGATCTTTTCTTATCTACTGAATAATCAAACTGTGCACATGCATTGACATCACAGTTTCTAATTGAATAAGTGTTTGACAATAACAGTTGAGAAAGAAAAACTAATGAAAATAGATCCAAACAAAGTGTGTGTATGTACAAAAATATTTTATAAAACGGTTTGAAAATTCTAGACTCTGATTGACCGAACTTTCACATCCACGCAGTTTTCATCTCCTAGAGAATAGTATTCACAATCCCACAAATAATAATCCAACATTATACGACAAACACACATCAGCAACAAAATAGCGATTACTTTCCCATTCGGATTCTTTCATTGACAGTGTTCTTTAGCGCTATAGGAAAAAGCAGTTAGAAACGCATTTTCTGTGACTGTGATCACGTTCGAAACTAATTCACTATTTGCGTTTGCTTCATTAATTTTGGCTCATGATTAGGAAAAGAGATAATTAACCCACAAATTACTGACTTTTTACATCTAAAAATAACAATAATTGACGCCATTTTTAAAACTAGTAATCTTATTAGACGGGAGGTGACAGTGATGGCTGAGTCGGGATGAATAGTAAGTTAAAAACCACTGTGGTATTAATGTTTTCTGATATGATTGGTGTTCCATTCATGAATTAATGAACACTATTTAATCTAGTGTGACATACACATATCTTTACAAATATTTATACCTTTATTGGTACTATACATGATAAACCGAATTTGTTTAAAAACAAGATATTTCAGTGATACTCAATAAAATATTTAGAATAAGAAGGAAAATATGTGTTTATAACACAGCGTTTTGTGATTTCATAAAGTTTGTTAGTTAGTCATAATCAACATAGGGCCTGGTAAAAATGTATGCTAGCACATTTTGTTATAGAACATCGCCAAGGGGAAAACGAAATTGAAAGGATGTATACCAAAAGCACTACAGAAGTCGATGGTGGTGAGAAAGAGGAAATATTAGATAAAACAGTATTAAAAACAGAGGATACAGTCAAGCAATATGAAATAATATTCAAACTTACGAGTGAATGGATCCGAGCCACTGAGACCAATTGTGAGATAAATTAACAAACATTAACATAATGATTCATCTAACCGACTTTTGAGTAGCCGACAACAAATACTTAAGCAAAGGTGGTTGGATTAAAAGAATGTTCATTCTATTTAGTATATCATTGTCAGATACAGAGGTGATAACCTATGAGTAAGGGTTTTAACTGACTGTGAAGTTCCCTACACCTTAACGTTAGGCTACCCTAAAATGTGAATAAACAGAAAAAGTATTATCAAAATCTAAGTACAATGGTAGCAAATATTAGGTAAGAAGAGAAAATCATTCAGTAACACGTGAATAGGTATACCACCACTAACCGTTTCACTAGAAACACACCAGCCTCTTCATTGTTCTCATGGATTGCCCGATGTAGTAGAGTGATTTTTGCATTTGTTTCATTAAACGGTGCCCATGAATTAACATCAGCTCCATGATTCACCTAGTATTCAAAAATATATACTTTAAAATTAGCGAAAGTGATGAGATGAGTAATTTACACGAACTACTGATTACTTTCAAAAATGAAGATATACTTAAAAATGAGGTGAATTACTGAAATTTAAGAATGAACGTAATTTCGTAGTTTATTTTTTCATCTAGAATATGTATTCTAATCAACTGAACATGCTGTGTTTTACATTTCTTTGACGTTATACATGTCAAACAAAATAGATATTGCTTTTATGTAGTATAACAAGTTATGATCCGGGTATTTTATGCAACAGACTTTACTAAATCACTTTAAGCATGACTTCATAAATGGATATATAATTTCACTCAATTTAACCTTCAATAATTTTTTTTAAGTAATCCGATCTTCTTTTGGTGAATAATTTTTTTGTGCAATTCAAAAATTGAAGTACAATACTATACTGCTTAAACTGAATAAATCCAGATTGAAGCTTAGAAAAAAATTACCCATTGAAATTCTCGTGAGAAATCCACACTCGAAACGTTTTATAAATTCGGAATATTGACCATAAAGTGGATTTTAAAACTACTGGGAAGAAGTGATAAGTTGAAGATGATTAGCTAAAACTGACTAAGTGGTAATTGAGAAATTTATAATCATATTTAAAAAATATGAAATTTTAGGGGAATAGATTGCGAATAAACCATTATAAAGGGATATTGACTGGATAAGTAAGTTTGGTTATATAAAATAACTGGTAGGAAATTCTTGGCCTAGGTTTCATAGTGGTTGGAACATATCAGAGAAGAGTATCTTCTATATCACAGGAACTGATGTGATTCGCTAGAAGTTCTAAAACTAATCACTCAGTGCCGCAGCTGAGGGTCACGTCCTGTAAAGCTGATATGTGTACGCTCATCAGTTAGTGACTTACCGGCGACAGAACCCACATAGGTTGTCATACAACTTAGTTAATATTGTATGGTCCCCTATACAATCAACAATTACATGATCAATTAATAACTAAATTATCTATGAAATCTATTGATTCAAAAATATGTGATCAGTGACACATGATCTAAGTAGATTATTTCATACAAATAATTAAAACCACTATTAGCATCTGTTAACTGTTACTTATTAAATTTGGCTAGAAATCGTTGAACTAGTTGAAAAGCGTTTATATTGCGAACAAATAAGTAAGTAAATGATAATGATAAACACATCGAATAGAATAGTAGCAAAAAACCAAAATTTTGTTGGAAATCAATTGCATTTTTTGATCCATTATAACCTAAAGATTAATGTTCGTTTTCGAATGTAACCTAGCTTCAAATTTCAAGTATCATACAAACACAGGATGTAGGTTTTGAGTATGAAACGAAAATCATTTTTGTTGTTTCAAGTAAATTAATGCTAGGTCAGTAAAAAAACAACTTAAGTCTCGATTAACTTTGTTAACTTGTAAGCTATAGACTTTATGTATGCTATTTATTCAGATTAGAAAGAAGCGTTTCTACTTCAGCTTAGCCCCACATGTACATCAACTGACAAATACTGATCTGTTCGATACTAAACACATGAATGACATTATACGCTTATTAATAATAATAAAGTAGCACACGATACATTTATTGACAAGGAGCAGAAGTTTCAAAATTGTTACAGTAACAACTAGTATGATATGACACAACAAGAAAGGCTAATCAAAGTCTTGAATTTACTGATATTACAAGCCAATCAGAAAGGTCAATTGATGGTAATCAGAAATGACCTAAAGGACGAGTGCATCTCATTGGCTAAAAAATGGATTAATTTCCTAAGGATTACAGTGGTATATATTAGTGATTGTGCATGTGATTCGGTAGCACAATGTATTTTTTCGCTCACTTATATGTGGTCAGTTGGGGGGGGGGAGCGCCCAGCACACTATGTATCAGTAACATATTTCAGACACCGCTTATTACAACATTCACGTAAAGACCTAATAAGGTGAACTACATGCCGGCAAGAAGAAATCACCATTAGTACTTACCTTTTCATGTCTAAACTGCGAAAATTTGGTAGAATTGAATGGAAAACACTTATTAATAGGAGAATGTTTATACTGCTTACCAAATAATCAGCTATTGTCCATCTTCTCAATTTCAATGCAGTCCATAGAGGGTTAATATATGACTGAGAATCAGTTTCGCTGATTAATTTTTAAAATGCAACAAAAGAATAAATAAAATTTGATGTTTAATTAGTAAACTTTTCAATTAAATAGGAAAATGAATGCAGAATTTCAAATTACTTATTTATTCACAGAAGACAGTTGATAGAAGTGGAAATAAACAAATGATTTGATATCTTTTTATCTCCAAAACCAACTATGTAAACTAAAAGTAGCAAGGGAAATATCAGCTGTCTACTAAAAACCAGAGGATAGTATTTAATTTTTGGCTACCGTATAGCAGGCTCGAATAGATCACAATAAATAGAGTAGCAATGAAACTCAGTAAATATTTCTGTATTCTGCCTTGAGACAGATTTTTCGTATGGCGCTAGTTATACAACCAAAGGCTTCATCAAACCAAATAGGAGAATTCCGACCTGCAGTTAAGCGACCGAAAGTCGAGCACATTAACCAAACCAAACACCATGCACGTCTCAAACGCTGCTATATCCAGCCTTATTGGTTACTGGAATTTTAATCTCTACAACACTATACTCACTCGGTTTAAGTGGTCTATTCTAGTTAACGTATTTTGACAAGGTTGTTTTCTAGGGGATGGGGTTGCTGACTCCATGCCTAACCATCCACATGTACTCGGAAATGGAGCCGGCAATAACTATAGAACAGACGTTACTATACCAAAAATAGGAGGAAACAACAAGACCATAAAAAAAATCAACAGAGGGAAAGCAGTAGGACTTGACAATATACCATCTGAAGCAATAACGTCGCACATGAAAATGACTGAAAACACGCTCCACTTTCTATTCAGGAAGATTTGGAGGAAGAATAAGTGCTAACGACAGACTGGAAAGAAGGATATCTCATCAAGATACCAAAAAAGATAACCCAGAGCGTGTGAGAATTACAAAGACGTTACACTATTATCGGCATCAGCAAACGCTTGTTGCTGAACAGGATAAAAGGGTAAGTAGACGACCAGCTACGAGACCAACAGAACGGATTTCGTAAGGATCGGTCGTGCACAGACCAAACTGTGGCACCACGGATCATCGTTGAACAATTGGTTGAATGGAACTTGTCACTATAAATCAACTTTATTAATTACAAGAAAGCGTTTGACTATGTGGATAGAACTTTGTAGAAACTTTGGAGTTCTTGAGAAGATTGTCAACATTATCCGGAACTCATACGACGGACTACACTGCAAATTGTGTATGGAGAACAGCTGACAGACGCATTCTAAATGAGGACCAGAGTCAGACAAGGCTGCATATTACATATCTGACGGGAAACACGCAACACAGTGATCGGGTTAGATGCAACTAAACTGTTAGGACTCTACAGATGACCTAGCTCTTCTATCCCATACACGCTAACAAATTATGATGAAGACAAATAATGTAGTAGCATACCTCAATGTACAAGGAAAAAACAAGATCCTCAAATACAACACAGAGCATCAACACAATCACACTTGATGGAGAAGCTATGGAAGAGGTAGGAACTTGTACGTACCAGGTGAGCGTCATCGATAGACAAGGAGGATCTAATACAGATGCAAACGTATAGATTAGCAGATTAAGGCCAGCATTCATACAACTGAAGAACATGTGGAACTTCAAACAACTGTAAACTAACATCACAGTGAGGATCTTCAATACGAACGTCAAGACAGTTCTACTGTACGGAGCTGAAACGTGGAGAACTATTACAACCATCATCAGAAAAGTACAAGTATTTATAAACAATTATCAACACAAGATTCCCAATGTCCGTTGGCCTGATAGCATCAGTGACAGCTTACTGTAGGAGAGAACAGACTAACTTCCAGTTGAAGAGGATAATAAGAAAAGTCGATGAACTTGATGGACAGGACATGCATTACGGAAATCACCAAACTGCATCACAAAGCAAGCCGTAACTTGGAATCCTGAAGGGAAAAAGAAGGACGCAGAAGACAGAATGAATTGTGTTGGTTATTGGACGCAGACATCAAAGTAATGAACAGCACTTGGCAACAACTGGAAAGATTTATCCAGGATAAAGTTCGATGAGGTATCCTGGTAGGCAAACATGCTCCACGGGGTAACAGGTGTGAGTGAGTAATATTTATCAAGTCATTGACGATAATTACAAAATATAACTTAAAAATGTACAAAGATCCGTAAATGCTATCGATTTTACGTATCTATTAAACGATAAAGAGATCACTAATGTATGACTGCCTGAATTGGCGGTACTAAGAGGGTTAACATCAATGAGTAAGACACGAAATGAGGAGGAACATTTTCAAGAAAATGTATTTAACATCCAGTTTTCACCAAATACATGAAATCAGTAACAATAAATAAAGGGATTTATGTATAATCATATAAACACTACATTGGCTTTCTGAAATTAATACTTTTGTTAAACTTTCGGTGAAATAAAATGAAAACACCGATCATGTCATTGTGAGCAGCTGAAAGGCAATAAAGGATTCCCAATTTTTAGAAACATGCATATCGTTTATGATCATTTACAAACCATACATCTTTATTTTCTTTTTACATAGTTTTCATAGACATCCGCCATACTACAATTGCCCAAAAATTTTCTCGATCAGTAAAACATTCAGTCACAAGACCGTACGCGACTTCAAATGTAACCGATTGGATATGCATATCACATTCACTGATATGGCTAAGTAATATGAATACAATAATACATCAATCAACGAATAAGCAAATTAAAAAACAATGCGTTGGAATAACATCCATAACATACACGGTTAGGATGAATTAGGTAAATAGACACGAAAACAAACATAAAGGAGACATAAATAATATTTAAATATAACTAATATTTTTAAAACTAGTAGAAACTAGATAATAATACTTCTCATTAATATCAGCATCATGTTCGACCAAGAATTTTACAACTTCGAATTGATCACGTTCAATGGATTGAATCAATAAAGAAGGCTTATTACATTTTGTGGATATTTTATTTAGAAATGATTGAATAGCGTTATCGGATTCATTGGATTTAGAGTCATGACTAGCTGATGTATTCTTTGATTGATTGTACATAGATTCTAATATTCTCTTGACCAACTGAAACTGCTCCGACCACAAAAGTAAGCTGAGGACCGAATCACCAGACTCATTCAACAGCAACCAATCAACATTAACTGTGGATAATAAATAGAGATAAACAAAACATAAGGAACATATACTTGGAATCTAACTAGATAGATTACTAAGGTGTAAGTAGAAATTGACAGGTAAGAAATGAAATATGGTGAGGAAGTATAAAAAAGCATTAACTAAATAATTCACACAATTGAATTTTGGCCCATGAAGTATTATTTAAGAGAAATTTCGGTTAACAAAACGACCAGTGGTTATAGTTTGCGCAGAATGAGCTAGATTTAATAACCAGTTAATTGTCTGTAAATAGCAAATAAATCAGACCTCAATATTATATTTATGGAATATATTTTTTCTGTGGCATCAATTATCACGAAATCTGCACGTTAACTAGAAGCCATTCTTTACAAATCACATATATTCATTTTATTAGTAAAGTGATTACCGTCTGTCTTGTGAATTTGAACAAGTGAACAATTTTAAAGTTATTGATAATTAACAATTTAAGTTTACGCTTCATATCTTAAAAAAATTAACTTAAATCTTACGAAAAGAATTCCGTGAATTGTCACTTTAGAGGTTTAAAGTCGCACGCCAAAATAAAGATTTGGCGTTACAAAAATCTCATTCTCATCGACCAATTTTCAGGGTCACACCAAATGCTCTCACGAATACTTGAAAAATTCCCGTTCCCTCATTATTACCAGCAATGATAAACAGACTTTTACATGTCTACTTATTTCTCAACTATTGGGTGTTTGGGATCAAAGAGTAACACAAAATAGTGTGTATCTGAGTTGTCAGACACTGCGCTTAATGGGTTGTTCAGTTACATAGCGTAACATCCATGTTAAATTAGATTTCGACTAGTATGACAGAAACACAAAAACCATAAGGCCGTGACGCGCTGCTTATGTTAACCACGAAAGGTGAAAATAATGAATTTATAACTTTTGATTTTTGTTAGTCCTCCTGGACGGATAAAGCATAGAACACGAAGAAAAATATATCAACACAAGCTGCCACAATTTTCGAGAATACACATTTTATAAGGAAATTGCACAAATATATAACCACAATTTATCCGACCAACGTATGATGACTGACTTAGTAAGAGTAGGTTTGAAGCGTTATCAAACTGATCGAATCATGGTATGATACTGTCAAGTTGATACTTAATGACTGAGGATATACGAAGAAGTTCCCCAACTGAAGTCTATAGAAATTCCCCAGTAAGAAGTGACTCAAAGACAGTTTTAATGACAGATGTGTCCAGTTTTAACATTTTATTATCATAAACATTTTAATATTCATCTTTTTATTAAAAATTCGTTATTTTGCAACCAGCTGTCACTATTTACGATGATATTCCAAAGTACAACAAAGGGGTGTATGGTGTAATGGTTTAACGAAACATAACCTTCAAACGTCAAGGTTACGAGTTTGAATTCTACTCTACCTATTTGAGTTTGGGTAACTGAATAGAATAACTAAGCATGAGGCAGTAACTTTAAAACAATAGGTTTCAAGTACAGACACCGTTTCATCGGCATGAGTCTGAACAATTAGACAGTATCATTAAACCTCACATTAAAAAGTCTGGTTGAAAGCTGAGTATACGAATCCGTACTTGTTATATTTCTTATAAGTCATCGTACAAAAATGAATGCATGTATAGAAGCCTATACGAGGTTATTGAAACAGTTCAAATATACCATTCAGTCAGTTTTGAACTTAATTAGTTAATTAACCACAAACATTACCATATAACACTTTACTGATAATCTTAAATGCAATAGTTTAACTGGTTTACTGTGTATTTAAGTACTCACCTATCAGTCGCATTTTTTGTGTCAGGATTAATGATAAACTCCAGCTACCTGATACCAGAGTAACGTGGAGTTCGAACTTGTGACCTAACGATTGAAAGCAAAAGGTTCTAGACCACTTTAAGTTACTCAATGTATGATCTACCGAATCCAAATAGATATACTGAGAAGACTATAAATGAATAATGTATACTGACTTACCTTTGTTTTCAAGATAAAATTCGAATATTCCAAACATTTTGTGTTGTACAGCAAGATGTAAAGGACTGCAGTATATTTGTTGGGTAGACTTGTGATCACTTTTGGCTGCTCTCAATGATGATGAATCTAATACCGATGGAGTAGAAATAATAGTACCGTTAACTGCTGAGTCAGTGGATAAATGTGAACTATTCACTTGACATGATATATTATCCACAGGGTTAGATAAAATATTGCAGTCATCATTACTTTCATAGTCATCGTCGAAAGGATTTAACGACTTCGTAAAGTTCATTTGGTTAGTTTCTTTCACATAAGTACTTTCGTAAGACGTTTGTGACAGGATTTCCTAAATAGACCGGAAATTAATACTTCATGTCGTATTATTTTCTTTAATACGAAAATGATATGAAAAAAATCAGAGTATTGTACAAAAATGAAAGCGATTTCATGCTCTAAAAATAAATTATTAAGGCTAAATAAGTGTCACTAAGGACAGGGGATCAGTTAAACCCCAATATGTAAAATTACAGAAATGAATATACTTGCAGACAGAGCAAAAACAACGAGGTTTACGGAATAAAATGAATTCATTAGTCCATTTAACGGTTTCTCATTAGCTGCATACAGCTTAAGATAACAATTATTATTACCATTATTAACAAATGTTTTGTATACTCCAGTATGTGAAGTTTGGAAGATAAGCAAAACCACGATAATAATAAAAGGAATTGGGATACACAGTGTATGACTAGACATAGGTAAGACAGAAATGTATTTACGTACTGGAAATTAATAATAAGTGATTATGTTATAGCTCACATGATGAAATAAGCAGATATACGAACATCAATAACATTATGTAAGGTGTGTATATCAGTAGATGGAATAAAAACAATTTAAACCATTTAAACTCTATCCTGGCAGGTGAACGATCACCATTAGGAAGAATTATGACGCCGTATTGTGAAAGCCGAGATTCTTCAAAAATCACAAGGTAGATTCCCATTCTAACAACCAGAGCAACAATTAACGTTCCTTCTATATACTGACAAACTCAACAAATTCAAGATAACTCTCAACAATAGGTTCCAAGCCTTACAGGATCCACTAAAAGAAGAAACTATTATAGTGGACAATTGGGAAAGGATCAAAGAGGCACTAACTTCAACATGTTAGAAGGTTCTGGGTCGCAACAAGCACCATCATAAGGAATGCATCTCTATCGAAACACTGGACGAGATTCAAAAAAGGAAAAACAAGAAGACATCAATTAACAACAGCCGAACAAGAACATATATAGTCAAGGTAAAAGATGAATACACGGACACAAACAAGAGATTGAAAAGAAGTCAATCAGTCAGCTGCAACGTAGGACCAGGCACATATATGCATCGGTCCAAGTTGCCATACCGCATTAGCACAATAAGATGAATACCAAATTCATAGAAGTAATTAATTCAGTGGTGGTAATATATAGAAGAAATATTGCATATAAGGAGATAGTACAGGATGAAAGAATCAGTTCCTAGAAAGAAAGATTTGAAGTGATTTTAATCTCTTAGTTTAAAGGAAGAAAGAGAGTGTATACACCTACGCCATTGTGGTCGATTCTCAGCCATGTCACCAAGAGTCTCCAACCATTGGTTACGGTAGTCACGCGGACCTCAACCAGGTAGTCTGCATCTACCAACATGGGTCAGACTAGAAGTTAGTGTCTTCACACACTGATGCCACGTTTTGGTTTGGCCGCCCCTAACTTTCTTCCAATCATCCCTAACACCGGTTAGCAAGCGCGTCAAGGTAATCGGTGTTCAGGCATACGCAACACGCGGCCCAACCATCTCGGTCGATGAAGATTCATAACCTCATCAACTGATTTACCATCCTATCCTAATACCCTGCGTCTAACCTCACTATTACTTACCCGGTGATTCCAGCAGATGCCCCCAAATGCCCTGGTACGGCCGAGAGAGGGGAGAGTCCGCTTTCCCTCTCGAAATGCTCTCACATGGCCACGCGTATATAGCCACTGCTAGGGAAGTCCTACTCACTGCCTTCTCACACCACGGGTGTTGCTTACGAAAATGAGAGGACGAAAAGCGAATGTCCGGCGCTTTAACCGGATCCCAAACCAATGGTGCACATGGGCTCCAGTATCCTGAAGGAACAAATGGCGTATGAACCAATCGTTGGTCACCGGCTACCATGGGACTGCATCTCCTTACGATGCTCCACTGCCTTGTGAGTCAGATCTTCAGGTCGAAGGCTCGAGGTGTGGCCCCCTTAGAAAACCACCTGCTTCGGCTTGGGCACCCGGGCAGTATCACAGCCCTCACACAAATCAATTGAGATTCGTGTGGCGCATATGTATTTGGTGGCTCCTTGTACCAATATCTATGTGTTAAAATAAATAATAATAATAGCAGATGCGAGCAATATTTCTAAGGCACCTGTTGTCAAATACTAGTAACTTACGAGTATCTTCTACTCTTATTGGCCACGTTTCGCAGCCATAAGGTAAAACAGAACGAACTGCTGAGCAGTATACTCGTCCCCTAATTGATAGACGGATATCTCGCCTTCGCCATAGATGACGTAAGTTGGCAAAGGACAAACGAGCTTTTCGAATCTGTGTAAAGATTTCGTCAGACACCAACCCATTAAGGCTGGTCAGACTTCGGACATAAGTGAAGTTGTCAACGCGTTCGATTACTTCACTCCCTATCCTTAGTCCAGGTGTTGACGCAGACCAGTCCGGAAGCAACAACTTGCATTTAGAGGGAGAGAAGCGCATCCCAAACATCTTGGCATTGTTGCTCAGTGCTACCAAGAGACTGCATTTTATCAGCGTCTTAACCAAACAAGACTATGTCATCTGCGTATTCTAAGTCGATAAGTGGACCTCCTGGAAGGGAATCAATACCCGAGAATTCAGTCGATGAGAGCGTTATTTCCATCAGTAGATATATGATGAAGCTAAACAAAAATGGAGAAAGTGGACAGCCTTGGCGGACGCCACTTGAGGTTGCAAAAGCAGATGACAGTTCGCCATAAGCTCTGAATCGACTAGTAGTGTTCGAGTAAAGAGCCTTCACAAGGTTTATGTACTTCTGAGGTACGCCTTTCAATGACAGACACTGCCACAGAACCTCTCGGTCCACAGAGTCAAATGCTGCTTTTAAGTCAAGGAAGACCACCATTGTCGGACGCCGATAAGTATGCCTCTGTTCTAGAACCTGACGAATGGTGAATATGTGGTCTATGCATCTACGACCGGGTCTGAAAAGAAGCATTAAAGCCGACAAGCAGAAATACGTGAAAGACCTAGCGGAGAAGGCGCAAAACGCTGCAAGATGAAGAAATAAAAAACAACTATGTGACACTACGAAGAAACTGGTGGAAGAATATAGAAAACCAGAGACCACTCGATCACCACTGACATTCAAAAACAACAGAATGGATGAGTGGAGCACTTCGAGAAAATATTGAATAGACCAGCTGCATTGAATTCATCGGATATCGAAGCAGCCCCTCCAATCAATGTCACTCCACCAACGATCAAAGGAATCAGGATAGCTATCGGACAGATCAAGAGTGGGAAAGCAGTAGGACCTGAAAATATATCAGCCGAAGCACTAAAGTCAGACATAGACGTAACTGCAAACATGCTCCATGTTTTATTCACGAGATTAGGAAGACGATGGAGTTGGTGGATAGGACATACGTTACGGAAATCATCACACTACATCAGAAAGCAAGCCATAACTTGGAATCCTGAAGGGAAAAATAAAGACGCTGGGAGTTGCAGGCAGACACCGAAGGAATGAATAGAACTTGGAAACAACTGGAAAGGTTTGTCGAGGATAGAGTTCGATGAGGAATCCTGGTGAGCGGCCTATGCTCCACCGGTTAACAGGAGTAAGTTACCGGTGTAACATTGGTTACGAATAATCGGCACTAAATACCGTTGATTACAGTGTGTTTCTGATACTATCTCAAGAGTTTTCATATTTGAATGACTATTGTCCAAGATTAACGGGAAGTCGGTTGGTGTGAAATGATTTTTCGAAAGAATATTTGATATATAGAATTTCAATATTAACGAGAGATTAAACCATTCTGCCTATAGATATTTTTGGTAACTATGGGATTTACAAGAAATTAAGAAACTATTAAAGTTGGTAAAGTGAAATTCTATATAAATATTGTTTGACTGCTTTAGACATTATGAGCTAAGGGTATAATGCTGGACAGATTTATCAAATAAAGACAGTATATAACTTGAGTATTTTTTATATCGATTTTAATTGGATTACTGAGCGAATGAAAATATTTGATGGTTCTCACGATGACTGATCATTGTGAAATCATGCATATGAATAAACTGTCATACAAAAATCATAAAATGTTATTTCTAGTTAAGCGTGGGTGCTATCGAATAAATATGCGTGTTGCTTTACTTCACTGATCCTAGTGATAGTGTAATCAAACACAAAAGAAATTGACTTATACCCTAACCTGTTGTTAAGATGAAGCAAATATGCAATGCAGTAACTTATCAAATTGGTAGTTACGTCGGTTAAATCTATCCGTCTTATAAATTCTAAACATGCATTTATTAGTCATTCAATGTATATCAACTATTGCCTAATTCAATGTATCGGAATTTACCTATTGACCAGATAAGTAAATCATATATAATTTATTGTGGTTTGATATAGTTTTTGAATCCGCGGTTAGATTATTTGTAGATTTGTTGTAGGTGTGTTGGGGTATTCAGAAAATACCCCAGAAATTATCTAATGCTATTCCTGAATGAGAAATGGTGTCATTTCCCCATTGGTCAATATTCTTCCAACGTGTCATTTTCCCGTTGGTCAATATTTATTTGTGTCATTTCGTGGAGGTCAAATCTTGTACAAATGTTACTTTCTATTTTATGGTACGATGTAGTCTGTTTGTTTGGTATATAAACAGAGTATGTTTGAAATATAATGATTCATATCACCGAGGCTGAGACTTGTATTCTGTACTCAACTGGCTGGGCTAGACAGGAAAGCAGGGCCAATCAGAACTCTAGGCTGTTCTCACGTGTTTACGCTCTTTGGTCCGACCAATAATTCTCTCTCTCTCTCTCTCCTTAAATCGCACGTCCCTCTCTCACAAATATAACAAGGTGCATGTATAAATCTTCGTCTGCAGTCTTGCCTTCTCCAGTGTATTAAATCATATAAGTCTTGTGGTGTTGTAGCAGGTAGCAGTTTTTCCACAGCTATAACAAGTCGTAATATCGGTATGTTATTAAGCCACAACATATATCTTCCTTCATAAAATTAAGACTGTCGCAAAAATCTTTTGAGAAATTCAGATCACTTAAATGGTATATATTATACTGCAGATATGGACCTACTAAATCCAAATGATCGATTTCTACTGACAAATGTACTTTTTAGACAGTTATTGGTACAGTTTATTAGGGAATCGAAGATTTCCTTACTAAAACTATTCGACTTATATTAAAAAACCCACAAAAACAATTATTTTAATAAATAATTAGATACTTAAAGTAATCTACAAAATATCCCGCTTTTTTAGCCCGATCGTTATTAAAAAACTGTAATAAGACTGCAGTGTTAATTAAAAATTGTCCAAGATATATATACCTCACCGTCTGATGTTATTATGTTAACTTTGGAAAACCGTAAACGATTTGGGTCAGTGTCACTCCGCATAATCAAGCAATTGCATAAATTAGACAGTTCAGCTTCTACGGCAACATGAAAAACTGTTTCTCCTTGAGTAAATGACTCTAAAGTAGGATCACATTGTGAGTGATCAAGAAGAAATAAAGCAGCTGATTCCCATCCGATTCGTGAAGCAGCCAAAAGCAAAGTGTCACCTGGAAGTGGGTTCTTCAAAGATTTACTATTCAATGCAGGATAATGAACATCAGTAAATCTATAATTCACGTTAGCACCATTTTCAATCAACTGACTAGCGAAGTCATATGAATTACTTGTCAATGAGTTAGCTGCGAAGTATGCAAAAAGTATGAATGGGTAAGAAACAGTACAAGATAACAGATATATTGTTAGAGACTTAAAACTTATCCAGATCGATAAACTACTTACAAAGTAGTTGAATATTATCAGAAAAAACTTTAGCTTTTACTAATTATATGAATTCGTTAATTAAGCAATAGGATGAGTTAATTAGTGTTATTATTTACTATTGCTCAACGTACTATTAGTGTACAACTTGGTTGGTTTTTAAAGCTCATCGTCATAAAAACATTTACTGGTTGTCGCTTAGTCATCTTTAGCATTTCAAATATTTTACTACTACTGAGGATAGGGATATTACAATAAGGATCGTTGGCTGCAAAGTCAACTATCCAAGCATTAGACAGCTAGTGTTAATGACTTTAAAATATACCTGATTTCCATTATAATGAGCAAAATTATCAACTTTTCTGAATACGTCAAGGGTTTCAATTAAAAATTTGTGATGAACTAATGAGAAGTAATACCAATGACTTAAGTTTTATATCTTTGTTCGTTTGCAACTCTCTTGGAGAAAAAAAACTATTATTTACAGAACTATCGAAATCCAGTGTGCTCTTAATTCACATGCATGAAATAACGTATACAATAACTTTTCTGACATAATAAATAATCTATTAGCTTTTTTCATATATAACTGGCTAAATTCGTCAATTTATTACTATAAGTAATCAACAACGATAACGGAAATGATAACATACATTTAAATCCATAAACACTTGGATCACGAAAATTGAACTTTCTGACAAGCGCTAACCACAGTGGACATAATCCTTGATTATTTGGTAAATCTAAATTAGGCTTCTTGGAATGATTGACCAGCAAATTAAATAAAACCAAATTATTGTGCAAAATAGATAAATGCAACGGCGAACTAAAAGAAAAATGTTTTTTTTAAGCAGAAGGTCAATTCTTTCATTCGTTGAAACAATAAAAATATTGTTTACGACATTTCACTATACAGCATTATATCGTTACACAAAATTTAGAAACTAAATCCATTTTGAATAGTTTTTATAAGCAAACATAATAGACTGGTAATTATTCAAACCTCCAGAATAAACAGAAAAACAACTTTAAACAATTTACTGTTTGCTTGATCGTTTGTTTAAAGTATGTTTGGAACCGCAAAAAGTAATTTGTTAATTTTTCATTAGAATTAGAATTCTTAGGATGAGAACTACGAGTGGTATTCAATGAATGATACGATTACTTTAATTGTTATTTTGAAATACTTTAGAACAATGAAAAGAGAGCTTCATTAGTGAGATTTTTTGGAAAGATACCATGTAAATTAGCAAATGAAGTTACTCATATGGTTGCATACAATTTGAAGTATGTTGACCCGTTCAAGTAGTGCAAAAAACTGTAAAGACGTTGTACTTTTAAAAATCCTGATACTTCGCATATTCGTTTATTATTCGTTGAGATACTTCCAACACAAGCAACCAGGAGAACGTCTACGGAAAACCGAGATATTATTTCATTGTATTTCTTTGGATGCTATGATTAAACGAAATATGATCAGTAGATCTGTTAAGTAAACATTAAGATTAAATATTACTATAAATCAGCCTCACGATTTAAGAATTTTGTCAAAAAATAGCTTACTTTCCGTCTATATCTTGGGAAGAAATATTAGCACTCTGTTGGATTAATGTTTTTGCTATATTTATCACAGCTTCTGACACTTCCTGTGCATCGGTTGCTGCAAGGTTATGAAGTAGTGTGCGAGAAGAGATTGAATCACAGAAATCACACTTGATTTAAAACAAAATAGATTAATAGTCACTTATTACTATCCAAAATCTAAAAGAAAATATTGGTTTGAAATTGTTATATATGTTTGTTGATGTAAAAAGATTATTTTTCATAGGATAAACGAAACTGTATATAAACTATTCCTAACTTTAGGAAAAACTGACTATAACTAAGAAATTTCTTACCTTGCACTTTTGCTAGTAAAATGAAGATTTAAGTGTTATTTACTTATTTAATTAAACACATAAACATTGGTACAATGAGACACCGAATACATATGCGCCACATAAATCATTCGACTTATGTGAGGGCTGGAATATTGCTCAAACGCCCAAACCGAAGCAGGCGGTTTTCTTAGGAGGCCAGTCCCTGAGCCTCCAACCTAAAGACCTAGTCTACGAGGTGGTGGAGCAATCTAAGGAGATGCAGTCCAATGGTAGCCGGTGACCAATAACAGGTTCATGCGCTGTTTGTTCCTTCAGAATACTGGAGCCCATGTGCAACATCAGGGTTTTCCAACTCCTCTCTATGAAACCTCCGTGTCCACTAACCCGGTTAATGCGCCGGACATTCGCTTTTCGTCCTCTCACTTTCGTAAACAACACCCCCATCGCAAGAAAGCGGTGAGTAGAACTTTCCTGACAGCGGCTGTATATGTGTGGCCACCGGGTAGAAAGATCATTTGCGTCTATTCAGAGTCTTTTTCTCTATTTGTTACTTTAAATAACAGTCTAAATGTCCATCCTTAATTATTATTAGCAGCCGAATAGTTCATTCGTTAGATTAGTTCTTAAATCCATTAACGATGAAATTCCCCAACACTGTTATAACTTGTGACCTGTGTGCCCTGTTAATGTATAACGTAATGATACCGCCAATTAGAGAGAAGTGAATTATCGATCAGATCAATGACGTGTAAATCCGTATGAACAGTCTACAGTCCTTATTGGTCCTGCTTTCCGCCTAGCCCAGCCAGTTAAGTCCAGAACACCAATCTCAGCCTCTGCAATATAAATCATTTATTTTAAGCATACTGGGTTTATATACCAACCAGACAGACCACATCGTATCAATAAAACAGTAAACAACATTTATACAAGATTTGGCCAAATGTGGCTGTGAATGTGGGAGGTATTAATTAATAGACATGGCATAATTCAAGAATGGTAAATCGTATAATAATGGTTCATAGGTCAAAATAAGGCTCATAATAAGAGGGACATGAATATGAATAGTTTAGTTATTTAACAATTATACGATAAAAATATACGCATAGTACTTGTCCATAAATGGATCCCAAAAGTTACCATTCATTACGCTTATAGGAACATAACACACTTGAAGAAGTGTACCGCTTTTAATCATTATGACGACCAAATTACTAACCCAATAAATAAGTTTATTATTGTGTCATTCTCTTGAACTATTTAGTTTTTCAAAGTAAATAGTCATTTCATTTTATCTTATGACTTTTCAAAATTGTGTTTATTTAAATACACAGTTGACTGAATCCAAAACTTTTGGGCCCTTTAAGCACACTTCGTCACATAAACAGTAGTTGGATGGTTAGCCCAAACTAAGTACTAAAAGAAATAGGAAGCCCAACTACCCATCAAATTACTGAACAAATAAATGGGCTAGTTAATGTCTAACGTATGTCTAGAAGTTTCACATTCTTGCTGCCTTGATGTTGAATTTCTTGTTCGGACATTTCAACATACTACATTCACAAAACCAAGTTGATAGTTTCAGTGAACTATTAGATACTTAAAACAAATGCAAATCACTTTTTCGACAAAAAAAGAGTCAAGAACATAGTGTACTCATCTAAATAACAATTCTACAACTAAGTGCCTGGAGTACTTATATCTCATGTATTACTGTAATCTACTACTGTCGATTTGTCATGCAGAAATTGTGTTAAACCACAGATCAATTTCATTTTCTTAAGCAAATGGAACCATCCGAACAGAACGATAGAATTAATGAGGTCCTTAGTTATAAACTATCTCCTTCTACATCACGAATCGAGAACTCAAAGTAGAAGCCAGAATAACTACCAGAGAGTATGGTTTAAGACAACCGTAATTTCGATGAAATCATGGACGGATAAATGTTAGACTACCAGCAGTGCCCATCCACGATCCGGCATGCGGAGATTGAATCTAGGACATTCGGTCTCAAGTGCGAACGTTTAAGCTCTAGACCGATTTGTCGGCATCTAATGGTGTTAATGTCTAACTTCAATTAACTCATTATATTGAAATTCAACAATCTCCATGACCCTACGCTGACAAACCGTAATTTAACTGAACTTCCAAGACACCAAGGTCAAAACATTTACAAACCAATTACATTGGAACCATGAAGCAAGAGAAATTGGACAGCTTCATAATGGCTTTCTCTAAACGCAAACTGAGTAACAGGTCGCTTTTCGTCAGTAGGGCCAATAAGTGCGTTTATATCTGCGCCTAGACCAATTAGTTTCTCAGCAAGCTCAAAATGTGCATCCTTTAGGGCCATATACAACGGAGATAGTCCATTTTCATTCAGTTGATTTACGAGACGTTTAGCCTGGAACAAAGAATGTTAGCAAAATTGGTGAATTACAAGACTACAGTAACGGTAATAAAATTAGATATGTCATTTATGGACGTCTAACTTCATAGTAGTGTCAGTCAGCGACATGGCATTTCGGCAACTTATTGTTATTCCGTACACTAGGGTATGAGAACACCAGCTGTGTTAGATTTGAACTTACAGGACTGTATTACCTGAATACTCTTAGTTGATAATTGGGTCCTTAAGGATGAAAAATCTCACAAACCTCAGAAGCAATCAATATCTTCTAAATTCCACTCGGAGTTAAATAGGCAACAATGATAGTTCATTTCAGATGAAACTCAACAAAATACAACAAGGAGGTAGCTGAAGACCAGTTAAATAGTTCTTTAGCATCACATGAACGGTATGTTATAGACGTTTACTAATTGTGTCTCTGAGTAATATTTCAGAAAGCACCACTATTCTTGGGAGAGTTAAATAAGTAAAAGTAGTTAATTTATAACTCTAAGGTACTTAAAATTTCTTATATTACTGTAGTCTGCCATTCCATGTGATTACTACGTAAAAACTGTAAGGTTACGGTAAACTTCCTTGCTAACTATTATTTATAACTGGAAATACATTGAGGAAATCATCAAACTGCATTACGAGACAAGCGCTAACTTGGAATCCTGAAGGGAAGCGGAAAAGAGGAAGGCCAAAGAACACATTACGTCTGGAAATAGAAGCAGATATGAAAAGGATGAATAAGAACTGGAAAGAGCTTAAAAGGATTGCCCAGGACAGGGTTGGATGGAGAATGCTGGTGAGTGGCCTATGTTCCTTCACGAGGAGTAACAGGCGTAAGTAAAAAGTAAGTAAGTAACTATTATTTATAAAAGAAAGACGGTCACTGAAATCCCAGGTTGAAAATTTAAATGCTTTATCATGGTAGGATGTCACCGATTATACAGTATTCGTCGCTTGGAATAAGTACTAAGTTGATATTATTACCAAAACACTTCAGTTAGGATAACAGTGTTAAGCCACAGCTGAACAATTTTTTGAATCCTACGATTCCAATAAGTGTAGCTCATAAGAAGTAATAAATAAATTTTAAAGAAAGCTCCCCAACCTTCTTTAAAATGTTAAACGCTGATTTGGTGGTGGTGGTGGTAGGTGATTGTGATGCTCAAGAAGATAGGCTAAGCCAAACTGAATGGCTTACAGTGTAGCGGCTCAGCGAACAGATAATGTCGAACGTCTTTTGCAACTACACTTCGATAACTGTCTACTCTTAACAAACACCAACTTTAGGCATAAAGAAAAACATCGTCTGATGTGGCGACCCCCACAATCGACTCAATGGAGGCCTTAGTAGACCACATTACCACCACTTATTGTTGGAGAGGCTCAATAGTAGCAGCTGCTCATTCTGAAACACATGTTCGGATTTACATCATATTTAGGTTCAAACACGTACTTATCTGAGTCTTACCGGACGTAAAAAGACAAAACAAAAACCCTTAAAGTTCAGCCTAATGATGAAAAAGCTGAGAACATACTTCATGAACAACTAGAGGAGTTAACCAACCACGAAACTAATAACCAACCCGAAGTAGCTTGACATGGTATCCAAAAAGCCGTGGAAACTGCAGCGAATAGTTAAGATAAATAAGTGGATTTCGGAGGTGTTTACTGAACTGGTGAATGCTTGAAAACTTGTCTCATCTACATTGGGACACGATGTCTAAAATATTAGTCTCAGCAATACTTTGAAGTTCTACTCCGTTGATCGAGAGGTTCTGTAGTAGTGTCTGTTTCTGAAAGGCGTACCAAAGAAATACATTACCGTTGTATAGTTTCTCTATCCGAACACTACCGGTCGAGCCAGAGCTTATGGTTACTAAAAATACAGGATACTTGTAGGTTACTGGTATTCGATCATAGGTGCCTTTGAGGCATTGGTCGTTTATTTTGGGATCACCGAGTAAGCAATGTCTGGGTTAGGAATAGAGTATTAGTTAAGGACAGTAAATCAATTGATGAGGTTGTATATCTTCATAAACTAGGGTGGTTGGAATACGTGTTACATACTCCTAACCAATCCCTACATCGACGGGCGATTTTATCTAGTGTAGCAGTAGACTAGAAGAAACGTAGGGACGGACAAACCAAAACAATATCAATCCATAATACCATTGTATAATGAACTTAGCCATGTTAATGAATGTAGGCTACCTGATTGGAGTCCATGTGAAAATCATAACCAGTGGTTAGAGACTTAGAACGACGTAGCTCAAAATAGTTTGCGATGACACAAGCGCATTCTGTTTTCTGTCTTCCGTTAGATCTTAAGCCTATAAATTTCTCACAATTTTTTCATTAATTCATGTTTTCTTCAATCGTGTCTTTGATCCCTAATCTTTTCTATTACCACATATACCGCTATTACCACTACTACCTTGGAATTCGGACTGACAATAGGGAAATAATCACTCCACATTAAACTTCTGCGTTTGTACGATTATCTATCACAAGAAATGAATCAGCGTAGTAGATCTCCATCCTTCCTACAGTTTACTGGGGAGGTAGAGGATGCTCAGTCAAAGAAAGCCAGTTTGATGTTGCATTGCCACCGAATAGGTATACGTGAATTAAATAAACACACGATCTCGATATATACTTTTAGAGTTAAGATCAGTTGTTTAGTGTCCTGTAATTAACATCCGGGATTCATTAGGATATTCCATGGGACTTTATTCATCTAAAATCATCGTGTGTTCCACTTGGCGTCACCAAAAACAAACGACTTTCCACATATATACAGTCGCGATCAAAAACCACATAGATGAATAAAATCTAGAACTAAATTGATTTGTGTATCTTCATTTTAGTGACATAATGCACTGCGATACATATATTGATCCGTAAATTTATAAATAATGAAATGATGTCGTACAGACCTACGGTGTCAACAACCACATAACGTCAGATAGGTATGCCCTATCCGAACTAATTAACCCTTTGGTTTTGTGGGGAATTCAAAGAAGCAAAACGAAGAAGTTGTACAGTAGTCGTGCACATTATCGACGTTTTCTACTTTCAAGAAAGGATAATTATCATCATCTCAATACACTATATTGAAGCCAATAACATAACTCCTTTAACAACTCTTAGGTAATAAGTAAGTAGATGCGGACTTCTAAAGGACCCTGTACTACGACAAAACGGTCATCTAGTGCTCCCAAGTTTTCAAAGGCGGTCTAGCTTAGGTCGACTCATGAATTTAACTGTTATAACAAGTAATCGCATATCAAAATAGAATCTTATTAATCAACGGTTAATTTTCGGTGGGTGATAAAAACTTGGAGAGCAAGCCATACATTATGTAGTGTGACTAGTCTATGGTAACGACTGACTGATATAATTGTGGTAACACATAAACTTAACTAGAATTAAGCGGAACACGAGTTATCATGAAAGAATTTAAAGGAGCGTTTCCCGAAGACATCGAAATGTTACTGGAGATAGCCATTTGTGATGGATGTAAATTTCGAGAGAACTGGCATCTGAATAGAGATATATAAGCGTTTTAACTGAACCATCTCTTTAAAAGTTCATGACAGCTCCCAATAAAGATATCAATTAAATAGAAAATAACTGGTAAATAGAACAATGCAAATGACAGCTAAAATAAAATACCTTTGGATGATCAACGTTAAGCAAAGATAAAACTGTATCATCTCTTCCAAGTTCAATTGCTGAGTGAACAGGGAACTTGGAATACTTCTCGAGAAAAGATTGCAAGACAGGAGCAGAAACTGTAGAAATTTCTTTCACTGAAAAATTAGGCTGAAAAATCTAGTAAATATTAATCAAATGCGTACCCAAAGACCTGACATGAACGAAAAGCAATGGTCTAACAACCGTGTAGCTCTTAATCTATACGAAGACGAATATAATGACAAACAGTTTTCTTTTGTCACTAGAGGAATTAAAGCGATTTCGCACCTACGACTTTAAAAATAGGAACACTTACTGTGTAAATAAGGAAGGCAAGCAAAATTCTCGTGCAAGTTTCATTAGGTCGGACAAACATTGTGATTCGTACTCTTCCAATATGCCCCTATAAGTCCATAGAATGAAAGCTTCGCATACATTTTGACAATAACCTTGAGAGACTGAAGCCAAATGGAATTTAACTACCTTGTATATTTATATATTCTACACCATCCTCTGTATAAACATTCCAAACTCCTCCCCTGGCATCGAGAACAAATTTGTGCCCTGGGACAAGAACGTTCGGTGTTTTGAATAGTACATCGCTATAATAAGTTATTAGAGAGGCCACGTTGCAGCTACCTGTATTTCGTATTCAAAAACAAACTCTCAACAAATGCAAGTATATTCCCACAAAAATTTTGTTCCCTGTGTCCGAGTTCGGCCATGAGCATTTCTTTTTCCCTCTCAAGCTTTTCAACTCTATCTCTAAGTTTCTGATATTCTAACTTAACGTTAGAAATATAAAAGTCCGAAGCCATAGGAAAAAAATAACCTTGAGGTTTGAAAACTCACAACCGATTGCAATTTTCAATTCCTAATTAGTCCTAGTGCTATACTTGGACATTGCTAAAGCCTCCGACATGGCTAACCAACAATGTCTTGTAGGTAGACTTTCATCTTACGGGGTCCTAAACCCCATGTTTGCTAGGTTTAATTCCTTCCTCAGCCACCAACACTAAATAGTTCACATTGAGTTTTCCTTGTAGAGGGCGGTCTCCGTCGGAACAAGGTAGCACAGTGACGCTCAAAATTTGCAGCTAGATCTTTACACAGCTAAATGTGGATGAATATGCCTCGGTAAAACATAACTCAAGTTAGATTTTACTATGAATGTTGAGGTGTTATCTAAGTTACATACAGTAGTAGACTTAGGTACTACTACGATTTATCGTTTACAGAACAGGTAGTAAAACAGACCTCTGAGTTTCAACGTCTTATAGATAGCACAACTTAAAACATTTATAACAATGGGCCACGTACTTTAATGTACAGTGTTTGGTTCCGACCACTTCTAGAATACTGCACGTTTATTCTTAGTGGTGTGTGTGTAAAGAATAAATTAAAATTGGAATCAGTACAGAGACGATTTAATTGAAATTGAGTGTACCTTGACCTGTAATTCTGGATGTATTAAACCTGGGCTTGACCCAAGAATATCCCTTTACCCTAGTATTCCCTAAAGTCACTGCATCCACCATTTTCCTAAACGTAACAATGAAATATTCGTGTTTAGGTAACCGTTTGCTAGGTCATACCTGCTCATTATGTCACCTAATAGATGTCTATACAGCAAGCGGGATTCTTACCCAGGGCCTTCGGCCTCGCGCGCGAACGCTTAATCTACTGAACCACTGAGCCGACATCCATTGATCTAATATAAACCGATCCACGAAACTGCGCGACCATCTTGCGAGAGGGCTCGTGGATGCGCATCACTGAGGAGTCCCACAATAGGAGGAGTTGTCCATCCAGTGCTTCCAGGTTTCCAACGGTGGTCTAACATCAATCGGTTCATGATCTCAATCAAAAGGACCATTTTTATAAGTAGACAAGCCTGGTGCTTCATGGTCAGAAAGAAGGCGAGACCACAGCTAAGAGCCTACTATAAACCACAAAAAAATATCGAAATGCTGCCGAAATACACTAAATTTTTAGCCACTTGCCGTCATCATCAGACTTCACGATATGGAAATGGACTATCACATAATTAGAAAGGTGTATGAATCGCTGAGAGCCTCTAATATAAGAGAGAGTTTCATCACAAATGCAAGTAATCACAATATTCAACAACGTTAAATAATGTTCACCTTATTAAAACAGGTTCTGTTATATTTCAAAATATACTTAGATGACATCGAAGAAAAAAAATAACACAAATAGCGACGGGTGTACAAATAATAATAATAGAAGTGTTTGTGATGGAGAATATTATTTAACGTTATTTTATATATTACATATATAGAATTTAATATATTTCATTGCTGTAGTAAGATTTATATGAGGAATAAGAGATTAAGTAGTGGTGGTTTATGAACATGTGATGAAAGTGTGATAATTAGCATTATTTGAATTATAGTTCGAAATAAGAATCTCAGAAATAACTCAATAGAACCAAAAAGTACAAGATAAGCACGAACGAATGTATTGTATTTGGAATTCGAAATCAAGCATTTAACATCTACAAAAGAATCATTAGTTCATTCAAACACCACATCCGCCACACCGTAAATTGGAGTCTAAGTGTCAGCAATCGATTGTACGTTTTCTTCTTAAGTTCATCCTGTGTCTGTCCAACAATATATTGGACAAAGGCTCTGTATTATCTAGAATGTACTCATTAGTATTAAAATTAACAACCGAAATCGGAACAGAATCACCAGGTTCCTGGGATTGTTTACAACCATTGTGTCGGTTGTGTACTGAAACCACTAATATCTAGAATTTGAACCACAGATTTTCCAATACTATCCTCTCCCACAAAATAATGTTGGATCTTTATACCCCCAAGTTATGAATGATGTGGCTTCATTTGAAACATTTTTCACACTGATTAGAGTAAACATTAGAAGTTACTTCGTGATAAGGATAAAGAGTAGTTGATATGAAATCATCCGAATTGTAATCAAACTCGAGCTCATTTAGTACTAGTGCTTCTCACCGAACTAACTTCCCACAAGAGACAAATGCATTATGAGGAAAAGTGATATTTGATATGACATCAAGATTTGATTCTCATGAAATAGTTTCCTCAAATTTATCAAGAATGTCATTGCAGAGCAAAGGATCATGAGAAAAATCAGCATCGATCAAAACTACATCAGGTTTTCGATTATGATTCTGTTCATCCAAAATATTTTCCTCAAATTTGTAAGAGATTTCATCAGAAATATGTGAATCATTAGGAAAGATCATATCTGGTACAATAACATGAGAAATCTGATAGTTTGATTGATTATAAATTGTTGTCTCGCAAGGATTCTGAGTTTCATTTAACTTTGGTTTGCTATGTGACCCTATACCGCTTTTCAAAGTCGTGGATAAAGATAAATGATCGTTAGAAACAGCCATCTTAATATAATCATAATTACAATTTGAGCACTAATTGTAGCGGAATGAACCTTAGTATGACAAACTAACAAAATGCGTCCAATCTCTCATGAATTAAATGAGTGAAACCTGCCACAGGACAAACATTGACCAAACTTATGCCCATCTTCGTGAACTGCATCGCAACGCCTCAATGAATTATCTGCATAGCCTTGAGTATGCACTGGATTGGGATGACGTAGTACTGTAGTGGAATTTTTGATGTCCTGATGAATCATTTTACGAAATCTTTACCGCATCCGACATTTGTATACTTAACATAGTCTACTAGTGGTTCCTTGAGAGTCACATAAGTAAGAGAAAGAGGCTTTTCTGGTACAGCCAGAGTTTTTAGTAAGCTGTAAGCTTCTTTTCCGATGAATGTGAGGAAACGTGCTACAATATTAACATCGTCAGCATCTTCCTTGGTCAAAGCGCAGATTTCTAATCTTTCAAAGCAATCCTCAAAAGCATCAAAACCTGAATGTATATCCAACAATTCCACCATAGGCTCCATCGCGACGCCAATATGATAATTAAGAGTGTTTGAATTATAGTACGAACTAAGAATCCTAAAAATAACTCAATAGAGCCAAGCACGAATGTACTGTATTTGGAACTTGAAATCAAGCATTCAACATGTATAAAGGAATCATTAGTTCGTTCGAACAGCACAGAAAGTCCCAATCGATAGCTCAAAACGACCGCCAAATATCAATTTCTAGATGTCCTATGTATGTGTTGGAAATAAAGTCACAAACCAGTCGACTTACTTTGCGGTTACATCTCAGAACGCACGAGATCTGATACGGACCTTTTGGATCTATAAGTCTTCGACTCGGTGCCAGTTGTATCAAGTCGTTCAGATAAAATAGATTTTGTTTTCATTCCAGATAAAACTGATCCTTCGTCCTGCATAATTTCATCTTTGATGACTTCAATTATCTTGTAGCTTAAATATTTATTAGGCTTGTAATATATATATATATATATATATATATATATATATATATATATTCTCATGTGTGTGTTCACCTCACTAGCATAATTTCCACTATTGTCGCCAGAAACATTAGTATTCCTTCCGTGAAAGGTTTTAGCTAAACGATAGATCTACAATATTTTTACCGGCCATATCCTCAGTATACAATATACAGAACCGTGATAATCAGAGCCTAAACCGAATGGTACAAAGTTCACTAAAGTCCATTGCAAAGCAACACTAATACAATTCTTATATCAGCAAATGACCAAGAATCAAAAAGTTCAGTAAATGCCTATGCAAATCACAAGCAAAACTTTAGTTGAAATGCACTTTAAGTGTTCTAAGGGGTTAAGGCATAGCTTAAGACAAGCACGTGTGGTTCAGATTATTAACTAAAACGAAAGGCATGCTAATCTTGAACAATCTAAGTTTTTGAATGAAGCTGTTACTATTTTTTCAGGGTGTTGATAGATTTTTACAATTTTGAAGCAGCCATTTTTAAGCATAAAGAATGTTAATGATGTCATCCTAGTCTTTTTCTTCTGGTATGACAATAATAATAAATATTCTCTCGAATAAGACGATTATTTATGTAGTTAACTGTTAATAGTGAAGCTGTAGCGAAAAGTAAAACCCCGAAATAAATAGTTCTGTAAGTTTTTGACACTGATGTTGATGTGAGGTAAAAAAAATATTTTGAATACTTTTTTATGAAACTTTCGTTGTATAGTGTAAAGTACTTTATGTGCGAAACCCGACGTTGTACTACTATAGTGTGCTCCTAATGTCAACAGATTTAAGTAATAGATATCATGAATCTAAAGTGAAATGTCTGGCGGCAGAAGATCAAAAAGATTGAAGAAAAGAGGAGGAGAACAGAGAGTGATTGGTATGGGAACGAAAGAACAATGAAATCAGAAACGATTGATTGATATTTTGCGAATGAAATGTTTACTTTATGATTCTCAGATTTTCCTAAGACGTTCTGTAATTTTGTATTCAGATACCTTTGGCAGTCCGCTTTTGTGTTCTCGTTCACAAAACTACCACTTGAAACTTTGGCATTAAACTTTTATCTTCGTAGATAATTGTTCCGATATACAAACATGTGAGCTGTAGTTATACTTCATTAGTCCTTCCAATATCCGCACGACAAATTGTAGAATAAACTTGGTAGAATACTGCTGAACATAAAAAAATAATAAAACAGGAGTTATTTATTAGACAGTTCTTTTTTCGATTTTTATTTAAAAATTCTGACATTTAGATTGAGATTATTACCTAAATGATCATTTTCTGTCAGTCTCCACATAATTGTTTTCGATTTACAAACAACTGGTGCTTCTAGTCTTAGGTAAAGACGTTATCTACATTTTAAAATAAAGGATCATCTAATATTATAAACAA